AATAAATTATGTTCGACAAAGTACACGCGAAGCGACAAGTTGAAATTTCAACATGATAAAATATGGGAAATGGTGCGTATTATATGTAACGTGTTACTCAATGTGCTCGTTTATGTGTCTATTTATGAATACTATTTTCGCGACTGCGAATCGGAGAAAGGAAAAAAAGAGAGAAAGAGGCACACGCGTGAAACGAAAGAACACCAAATAACAAGAACCAACGAAACAGAAACAGAAAAAAAAACATATAGCAAAAATAACATCGGGAACCATATGTCTTTGAATATGTATATATCGCTAGTATCCGTGTATTCGATGGCAATGCCAATTCGTTTAGAATAGACGAAAAAAAAGGCAGCCACACTGAATTTTAAATGGTATTAAATAAAGAAAACACGACGCACGTCGTAAATGCGACACGGTCAACTGATGAATTATAGTTTGCCAGCTATTTTGTTCAATTTATTTTTACTTTCGATGCACTCAAAACAGTTGTTTGTGCTCTCGCTTTTTTTCATTTCCAATTTTTAGCACTACATGAAATGTAGAGCTACTAATCTGCTTTTTTTTTCTAAATACTTTTTGAGTGATGAAACAAATAATGGTGAATTTGAATTTTATGCTCATATTTTTTATTTAATTTAAAACAGGTGCACTAACGACAAATAAGTGCACAACATCTCAAAGCGCCAATCAAATTTTTATTATCAAATGTATTTTTAAAAATTACATTAATTTTCCGTACAGTATTTTCTGGGTCTTGAACAGAATTAAAGTGACTTTCGATTCTATGCTCATATTATTTATTTAATTAAAACCAAAGGCAGTATATTTCAAAAAAGAAATAAAACCAAGATCTTGTGATTCATTTTTAAAATAAATATATTACTTCAAAGTTACTTTGATGAAATAAATTTCATGTAGTGCGCCAAAAAATAGTTTGTTGTGAAACAACAAAATAGATTAAACTAAAAAGTCAAGAACGCAGCGAAGCTCTGCGGTCTTGTTTTTTCTATTTTGCTTTTCGTTGGTTGGTTGATTTTTCTTTCATCATGTTGCATATATGAGTCGATGATATTGTGAAGTGAAATATTGGTGGTGTCTGTGTATGTGTCTATGTATGAAAACAAATGAAATTTTACGGTTTTTAAGTAGTTTTCGGTTATGGGTTATGGATATTAATATACATAAGACGCATGCCGATAAAATTCAAATTTGTATGGCAATTGTTAGAACATTAGGTGAACGAAAAGACGAGAGAGAGAGAGAGAAAAGTAGGCAATACACCGCCATTGAATTACCGTGGCGTCGTTAAATTTGCGCTCATAATTTAAACAACATGCATAAATGCAGAAAAAAATGAACACACAAGGAAGAGCTAATACGTGGAACGCAGCGTGAACGAGTTAAGAAGTTGTGTACTGTCGTCTGTTGACTTCATTTCCACGTATTTGACATGGTTAATGATGTACCGTACGTATTTTACAAGCCAACGATATAATTGTCAACGATATTGAATCCAATTACTTAAAAAACATAAAGGGGATGGAAACAAAAGTAAGCCGAAGAGTTCAAGTGGCAACGATATTTTGCATATATTCGTGTTTTTGGCAACAACACACAACGCACCCGAAAGACAAAAGCAGACACACAAAGAGATAACGATTGAAGGATAGAGAGAAACAGAGCAAGAGAGCAAGAGGGAACAACGACTTTAGTTTCCATCAATGGTAATTTGAACTCACTTCAAGTGTCATTCACCTGCTGTCGATGTCTAGCTTTGATCACGGGAATTTCGTAAATACGTAATAAATTTCAACCTTTTCGGATGTTATTTCGTCGTCATAAAGTTAATGCACTGACGATGATGATGATGACAACGACAACCAACCGAGTTTTGATATTGATGCATTTCATTTGTTTATTTTGAGAGATGCACGTCAATTGGGCTAAATACTTGAGCTTAAAACATAATTCCGTCTCCGATGCATATCATCGCCCGACACACAATATGATGGGCCGGGTGCCGCGTACAAACACATATATGCATTTATCTTTCTATTCGAGATAGAAGTAAAAAAGAAAAACATAATCATCATGCTGGATCACAACTATTTATATTTTTATAAATTGAATAAAAAAAGACGAATGCAACTAATAAGCATGTTGAGTTTTGACAGAATAATTGTTGAATCCTCCATATCTCAATTAGCTTTTTTCCGAATTAAAACAAATGATCAACGCAAATAAAGCGTAAATAGGGAAACAACAATGAGCTAATGAATAGAAAAACGAAATAATTTCTGTCTGCATGAGCGAAAAACTCCCTCCAGTTGAGAAGAGAGAGCGAGAGAGAGGGCAAGAGGGAGAGAGTGCGACGAGCAAAGTGAACTGGGTGTATGGCAGGGCATTTGAGGAAAAAGACACAAACACAAACAACATGCCACGCACACATCATTTATGGTTCGCCAAAAGACGACAAGCATTAGAGCGACCGACCGTCGAACGGGATAGACAGAGGCGGCACGCAACCGACGCGGTAGAGAAAGCCGACGAGCGAGAGAGAGAGAGAGAAGAACGAAGAAGAAGAAGAAGAAGATGATGATGAAAAGCAATAAGCAACACGATTTTTCGGATGTGTGCTGTGTTGTGTATACTTATATCTATCGTATCTATGTGTATACATTGAACTGCTTTGAACGCTTGTCTAGTAAATCTATGGCAAGAAATGCTTCGACTGCACCAAACATAATACTATAACGTAAAAACCAGAAAGAGATTGAAGAGAAAAGCAAACGAAGAAGAAGAAGTAGTAGCGAGAGAGAGAGAGGGAGAGAGAGAGAAGAAGAAGTAAAAAAACGTATACACAGCGCACCGACTCATTTTTATGGCATTTATCTAGGAAAAATGGAACTTGGGCTTTAAGTGCTTTGGGTTTGTACTCATTTCGATTTTCTCCGTCCTGCTTCAATCAAGTCAATTTTTTTCGTTCGTTTTGCATTAACGCTAACAATATTTTTTCTCTTTGGTTAATTCATTCGAGCAAATAATACGAGTCGAACGCACGGCGTGTGCGAAAGACAGAGAGAGTAGCAGAGAGATAGATTGAGAATCGTGAATCAGTACGAGTCATCTTGTCTCCGTTCTGTATCGAAGGTGCTGTTCCAACTTCATTCGCGTGTTTGCCCGTTTATTTCTTTCTTTTGAATGAAATAAAAAAAAATCATTTGTTGAAACTAATAATTTTTTTGGTTTAATATTTTCTTTAAATTGAATGTATTGAACTCGTATTCGGTTATATGATTATTGCTTTTTTTAAATGTAGCAAATGAAGAAGAAGAAGAAGAAGAAGCAGAAGTAGAAACAAATGTTTGTTATTTGTCTATCTCTGTTTCGCATTGATTCCAGTTTGTGTGTTTATCGTGCGAGAGACAAGAAAGCCTTGACTCCACTCGATCGCATCATATTTATTGGTGTTATTGTTGCTGTTGTTGTCACTGTTGTTGCGATTATATATTGAAATATAATATTGGCATGAACTTCAGCAAATGTAAGCGTACACGACGATATTATTTATAGGTTCTCATGTGGAAATTTTAATATGATATGGAGGATTTTGTACGGAAAATACCGTCTCACCGAGACACACACACTTCGGCGGATAACAGCACATCAGCAGCTTCACGTGCAGCTATGTCACAATTCCACTTAGTTTTCCGATTTTTGCGCCGCATAACATATTCACAATAACAACAACGACAACGATGACGATAGTAAAAAAAATTTGAAAACCAACGGCAGAATAGATCACAAAAATTATAACAGCACACAAATTAAACCGAAAAGGAATACAAGCCGCTTTACGCGCACGCAGTGTGCTATGAACATTACATCGTGGATAAATAGGTGGCTAGCAATGTGCCTAGGGATAGAGAGAGAGAGAGAGAGAGAGAGAGAGAGAGAGAGAGAGAGAGAGTGAGAGAGAGATGAAGAGGAAGACGAGGAAGAATAGTGTCGAATGTGTGTTTTCTGTAAATAAAAGCGAGAATGTCATTTCGAGAAAAAAAAGACCATTCACTAAACGTCAATGTGTGCTTGGAATATACACTTCGATACACATATGCGGCCTTTTTCTCTCTCTCACTTTGCTCTCTTGACTTGTTACGTTGTCCTTTTGTTGTCGTTGTCCTTATTCGTATGTACGTGTTCACTGTTTGCTATTCAAGTGATCGACCATTCAAATATTTTTATCTGTGAGCGATCAAATGTTTTTTTTTCGTATACACACGTATTCGTTCAGCGGCTCGTTGATACATCATATTATTTCATCGTGTTATTATTGTTGTTGTTGATGTTGTTTTTTTTTCGTCTATAGCTTTTTTTCATCATTTCGCTGAGGTTTCGCTTTATTTCAATTCGACCGAAGAAATCGATGTGGAGTGGATGCAAAATAATCAAATCGCGCGCAGACAAAGAGACATAAACATGGTTCTCAAAGTGCAATAACATTTTTTTGTGGTCGTTGTTGTTGTTGTTATTGTTATTTTTATATTTCGTTTTCGTGTTCATCTATTTGGACACGTTCGCGTTCGCGTTAGCGTTCACTTCTCAATTTATGTTGTGATCATCAACAAACAAACAATAAAAATCTCGCCAAAAATTGCAATTGGTATTTATGTGTATCTATAGAGATATATTTCTTGCTTCGTTTTGATTTTGATTTTTATTATTGTTTGACGTTCGTCTTACAAAAATCCAATAATTAGTTGGCTTGGTGCGATTTGCGTTTCGCGATTTCCTTATGCGAATGCTATGACAGAGCATCACTTAACTCACTGCCGAGATATATATTTTAAATACACATCGCACATATTTGTCTATGGTAAACTATTGTTATATTCACTCATGTTCATGTCACTCAACGACGACGACGACAACGACGAACAATTCACTTTATTGTACAATTGATGATTGTGTGATATCGATATGGTAGTACTCACCCGCAGATTCTTTTTTTGTTTCATTCACTATGTGATTTTTTTTCTCTGCTTCTCTCACTCACTGACTCTCTTTTCTGCTGCTGTTTATAATAAGAACAATAAAAAAAAGTTTGTGTTATTTAATCCAATCAAGTATATTTGTTTTTCCAGAATGAACACGAAAAGTATCGCAGTGAAATTTGCTGTGTGTTTTTTTGTATCTCTCTGTCTCTGTCTCAAACTTGTTTATATGTTAATCGACGAAATTTTATATTAATAGAGTTCACACGATGTTCATTTTATTTGCCTTGATTTTTCTCGGTTTTCACGATGACGTTTTGTTTCTCGCTCTCTTTCTCTCTCTCTCTCTCTCTCTCTCTCTCTCGCTCTCTTTCGCTGTGCTCCTTTCTTTGCTGTCGCAAGCGTTCGATTCATGAAAATGAGATGAATGTGTGTTCGCTATTTTTCGCACATTCCAATGCGAACACGAGCGACGGAAAGAGAGCGCATTTCACTAATTTAAAAACGTAAATATTTGCACTGTGGTTTAACTCGAACGCATTTCATTTCATTATTGTTTGCTTCCTTTCCAACCGCTGTTCGCTCTCTGTGCTTTTTCTTTCTTTCGTTTTTGTTTTTCACCTAATTTCCAATGGAATCCATTTCAATTTTTCTAAAACAAAAATAGATATTCGATAGAGCCCAATATTTATGCACCGATTCTTCTTCTTCTTCTTCTTTGCATCAAAATATCACATCAATCTATACAAGTATCTTGCATTGGAAGTAGATGACATGAACCAAAAAAAAAAAAAAACAGAGAAAAAAAATCATGAAAGAGAATCGAAACAATGTATCAGCAGGGCCCAAAAAAAACACCTGATACGCGCTTCTTGTTTTGGGATTTGAAGAGCAAAGAAAAACCGAGCGAATTAAAAAAATGATTTGATGAATGCACGAAAGCCAAGTACCACCAATATACACATCAAAACACCATGAAACATGTACACACAGTTCACTGTTCGCTGCGCGTTGCTGTTAATCAGGCGATTGCAAAATAAACAATATCATTACATTTTCAGCGGTTACATTGAATTCACTACTCTTTTAGCGGCATCGTCGATTTTAACACAACAACAACAATGAACTAACGATAGCAATAAGAAAAATACAGTCAATTCACACATTTCACACTGCGATGTCCTTTCAATGAATTCCCGATCGGAATCGTCGTTTGTAATTTAAAAACAAAACATAACACACTTACACGAGAGATGAATAAAAATGCACGGTAGTATGATGTTTTCCTTGTCTGTTTCTGTCTCTTTCTTTTGCTTGTTTCTTTTTTTTCGAAATTTATTTTGCTCGTATCCAAATTCTTGTGATTTTCAATTTGTTGCTGTGGCTTTCAATTGTTTTAATTTCTGTATAACTATTTCTTTCTCTTTGTTTTGCTTCTGCTTCTTACTTTTTTTTTACTTCTTCTTTAAATTATCTTATAAATTATTTCATCGAGAAATCTATTTTCTTACGCGGATTATGTATATGTTACAATGTTACATCTATTTTTTTTCATTTTGCTTATGAACGGCTAAATAGATAGTATTAATATGAAAATGGTTTTTTTTTGTCTATATATTTTTGTTTTAAAAAAAAATTGTTGTTTTGTTAAACGCGCGCATGTAACAAATACAAAATACGTCTAACCTCGTCAACGGCTTTAACTCAACTGAATGAAAACAAAAACGTAAAAAAACGAACACCATACGAAATGCGGCCGAATAACTGTTGTGAATTGACAGTTTCGATACACATGCACGCAGAGCGTTCCGCTCACACATAGCGATGTATATACAGATCTATACAGATATAGTTATACATACGACACAGCGAACAGAAGAGCTATATATCATATACATGTGTGTATACATTGGTGTAGTGTGGTTTGTGTGTAGTAAGCGCAAAAAAGCACCACACATACATGCGTTGGCTGTGGGTTTCAAGTGTGGAGAGAACGTAGAGCAGCAGGCAAGAGAGAAAGAGAGAGAGAGAGATTGAGAGAGAGTTTGTGTGTGTGTTGGCAACCGGCGGTTAAGTGAGGGGGCATATCGTGTGTCCGATTGCACAGACTGCTCTGTATTGAATGTGTTAGTATGTATTTATACTTGTGCGTTAGTATCTTGTTAGTTGCTTTTAGTCGTTTCTTTTGTTGATTCCATCATCAGTATGAACGAGCGAGCTGCTTAGAAATGCCACATAATGTGAGCTGTATACATGCATCGTTCGGATCTTGACTCTCCGTACACACAAACACACATACACATACACAAACGCAACTCGGTTTAATGTGTTCGTCGATTCGAAATAAATGATCATCTCTTGTCTCTCTTTATCATTTTGCTTCCCTGAAATTCTTTCGATTCGTCGATTCGATCCAAAGTGTGAGTATAAGTGGGTTTCGTTTTACAGGATGGATCAAAATAACTCTATCTGTGTATATACTAGTTTTCAATTTGACATTCAATCATGTACGAATGGGACCCCCTTCATTCGATTGTGCACGAGACACACTTTTCGTCGTGATCTTTTCACGATCAATTGATTGATTGATCGCTTACCGCCGCTGGATGTCTTTGCAAATAATTCTCCGTATCAAGTTCTCTCTCCGTTTTTTGCTTCTTCTTCTTCTTCTCTTTAACTCAAATGCCAGATGACTACTTACACGAAGAAAAAAAAAAGCATTCCTTCATGGAATCACTTTGGGACGAAATGATTAACTTGTACCGAACGACGAACAAAAAGAATGAAATCAATCTGAATTTCATTGATTATGGGGAATTCTAGACACCGTTACAGTTTTTCTTGCCAATACCAACATAAATTCACTAATTAAGAGCACACCAAGTGAACAAGAAAAGGCGGCCAATGCAGTTTAAATGCCAAGATTTTTTTTTGCACAGCACCACTTCGTCAATCACACCGATTCAAAGATTTCCGTCAGCTTTGATATCTTTCGCAATAAAATGCCAATTAAATGAAACTGTTTGCTTCCTTTCCTTATGCTTACTACTCTCATATGTACGTACGTGGACTACGATGACAACGACGATGGGGTCCCACTCAGAAACATATAAATAATACTCCATCGAGTGTTCAGTTCAATTGCTCATAGCAAAAGAAACAACACTTACTTAATGGCAATAATGGCAAAGTATGCAGTTTGCTTTTTTTTGTCATTCACTCCATATACATTGGATTATGCACGTTGCATATGTAGCACAATTTCCCTGTGTGATGTAAAAAAAAAACAAAGAAATAAAATGAAATGAATGGAAAAAAAGCGCAAACGACCGAACGAATGAGCGAGCGAGCGAACGAACACCAAAACCAACGAACAAACGAAGAAAATAAATAAACGAAATGAACACAATGTTGTAGTTCAAATGAACATGTATACGTTACATGCCGTGGTTCGTACCCACCATTCGCTTGGGAACGTGTAGAAGTGCGATTGAATGCGAATATAAACGAAATAAACTACAATTACACGCAGCGTACGTATGTATAACATGTACATAGAGTGTACGGGCACATATATAACCGTAAGCCTTGACACACTTTCTATGAAAATCAATGATGAAAGTGGTCCACTTTCAATTATCGAGTGATAATGAAACAATTTTTAGTCGATTGCCTCTTTTTTTCTTCTTATCGGTGTGTGCAAGCAATTTTTCCCTAACTCATCATTTGTTGTTTTTTTGTCGTCGGTTCTTACTGGCCCGGTGTTGGTGTGCTGCTATTTCGGAATGATGATTATTTACTTTGGTTTGTACACCTTCGTCCGTTCGAGGAGCACACACGACCACTGCTCATTTCAATTTCCTATTGATTCCGCAGTCCGCACTCTCCAATCGGATTGAATAATCTGTTGCTTTTTAAATATTTCCAATTCGCTGCAATGCAAAGCACAAAGTAAAACCGTTTCTTCCTTTAATTAGATTCCATCGTTTTATTTAATCTACATATTATTAGGTAAACATTGAAACACTAAGAAGTTTCAAATTTTTAACAAAAAAAAAAGAGAATTATTAATTTTTCATTCTGATTTGCGAAAATCTAGTTTTAAAAAAATCGAATTAAAATTGAATTTTGTATCGATTTTCTCCCCTTGTAACGCTGCCGCCTCGTCGTCCCGTTCGATTATTATCGATTGGTTTGGGTGGCAAGGAAGCCGTTTTATCTTGTGTTGTCAATGACATATACTTTGGTGGCGTACGTGAGTTGATATGTTGATGATGGAAAGATGCATTCGATGCATTATGTACGTCGACCTTCAGATGGATTGGACTCTGGCGTAAATTTGAATTTACTGAATGATTCGATTCGCTCGAATTCAACGAATCACGTGAATGTTGTTGTTTGTTTGAATTAGACGCTGCTGCGGGTGAATATTTACGTGCACTTGGCAATAGGGAGCGTTTGAACGCACTGCCACTGCTGCCGCTGCCTCCGCCGCCGCCGCCACCGCTATTGCCACTTTCCGATGCTTTATTCATTTTGGGCGATTCTTCCAGACGCTGATAATACTTTGTCGATGTATGTTCAGGTTTGGAGAATTCCGACTGTTTGCTCATCATTGATCCGTAATCCTTACGCTTTAGCGAAAAGTGTGGATTAGGAAAGTTGAGCATCTCCTTCATTTCCACATAATTATTTTTGGCGGGTGGTGTGAAATCGCGACGCGAATATTCGTTGCGTTTCATGGTAGCCGCTTTCATTTCAAATTGTAATTGTGACATTTTCGGTGGCGTTTGCGAGCGTGCCTTATTCGACGAATCGCTCAGGCGGTCATAGTCAATTTTTCGCGGTGGTTTCAAGCTGCGCGCTGGCCGTGGCAGTGCACTCGGTGGTAAAGATGTGCCACGATTTTCCTTCATTCGTCCAGCCGCTATCTGATAGGCGGCATTCTGTCCCAAGTTTGCATACGCTTTTACATCCTACCGATTCAAAGAGGGAAAAAATCGAGAAAAAAAAAACGATTTTATTTGAACAACATTGGAATGAATCTGGTTTTTGGCAGAAAAATTTCGTATTTGTAATGTGGTTGCTTTGTTAGAGTTTAATTTTTGTTTTGTTCTGTATTAAAATGTACAAATTTGTGCCGAAATAATATTGTTTCTATTTTCTGGAGGATGTGAATTTGTGTATGTTTGTGTGTATTTTGTATTTTTTTTCTCTAAATTTTCGATGAGTTTTTCAATTAGACTAAAAATAGACTTAATTTGTTCAATGAAAATAAAGAAAATCGCTCGACCTTTATGAGATTGTTGTTATCAATATTGCTAATGTCGGTCATATTTTGACCAACAAAACTTTTGGTTACTTGTGCCAAGTTTCCCGTTAAATTAGTTCTGAGCTTTTGTGAGCATAGGCCTTGTTTCTCGAGGAAAACGATTTCGTCGGCTTTCGTTTGGCATGTCATCGATGCGGCCGATGGTAGTCCAAGATCTTGGTCCTTTGACTCGTGGCGGTTGCGTTCCCGTTGATCGATATGTGCTAGTTTCTATATATATATATATATATATATATATATATATATATATATATAAATTGTGGATTGTATAGCATATTGGAACAAGGTCAATGATCTAAAACGCCTTCTTTACAATTAACGCGCTCATTTAACCGGTCGACGCTCAATTCCAAGTCAGCGACACGGTCAATATTTATGTGTTTGGTCGACAATTCAAGTTTGATTTTTTTTTCTTTTTTTTATCGTTTTTTTTTTCTCGGTTTCGTTTGGCAACCAACACAAAAATCACCAAGCAAGAAAAGTAAAGACAAATAAAACGAAATTTACGAAATTGCCATATTTCATAAGAAAATTACCTGTAGAAATGAGTCGCTATTGTTTGTCGATAGAACGGATACCTGATCGGAAAGTAGGGCCAGATTCGATTTTTTTGAACTAAGACTCGGAAAACAGCATAGACCTCGCTAATAAAATAAAGATAATGAATGATACGCAAAAAAATTCAAAAATTCTTTATTGCATTCGAAGGACCAAAACAAAAATATGTTGTTAAATTTTTGTTTTATTCTGTGATGTGAGAGTAATGTTTCACAAACCTTTTCAATTTAAATGGAAAAAACACAGCAAACAACACAAATAAGGATGAAATTAACCACAAGGTTTTTTATTTGCATTGTAAATACGTTCGGTTTTTTTTTTGCGAATCGCACTCCATGCTCAGCTGTTCCGTATTGGGCAAAGGATTATAAGCCACACGCAATACAAGCAAAACATAAATTAAAGCCGTAAATATGTTCTAATTGAGGACAGTAACCGCAAAAGCAGATTGATCCACAGACAAAAAATAAATCATCATTGATAAAAAAAATCCATTTGGGGGGTTTTTTATTTTTTTTTAATTTGTTTTTAATTTATTTTGGTAAATAGTATATAAGTTTAAAAATGTTCAAAAATATTAAATAAAAATTCATTTGGTCGTTGGATTTGTGTGTGTGTGTGTGTTGAATTTATTCATGCATTAAATTTGGGTTAAAAATTAGACTAAAAAAACATTCTGCACATATTCATGCTCCTGACCAGCGCCGTAGCCAGGCCGGCGCAATGGGTGCATTGCACCCTCCAAAAATTTCAAAGGTGCAACAAAATCGGGTTTCAAAGGTGCAACAAAAGAAAAATTTCGATTTTGCACCCTCCAATTTTTTTTCTGGCTACAGCGCTGCTCCTGACCGACGGCAAATATACTATAAGTGTATATGTGTTTAAAAAAAAGTATTCCGAGTATTTGATGGCATCATGTGAGCACCTCGTACCTATTCTATTTGTTTTTTTGACACAATTTACAATATTCATTATTCGGTCTGTATTTTGTTCGTAAGCCATTTTTCAGGCAAATATTTAGGAAACATTTAAATGACAATAAAGTGTCCTTCAAAAAGTATTCAATATCCTATGGAGTTTTTTCGTTCAATTTTATTTTCCATCGCACTTTCCGTCTGGTAACATACCATTTAAATAGAAAAAAAACATCTACTCCGTGTTCGTCATCAACTTTAACTTCGTTTTTCTTTAATCCTTTCGCTTTTCTTCTTCGTTTGTCCTGTACAAGGGGCAGAATGATTGGCTTTGCCAGACATGCAAGACCTGACTCAATTACAACTTAAACCATATTTTATTGTATAACCAATAAGTCGGTAAAGTAAACATTGACTACAAATGTACAGAAATATTCAAGTGAAGAAGATCTCCGTGAAATGTACCGAAATAATAATGGAGATGTGCAGAGCCTGCTGCAATTATAATATTTAAATCAATGAATTTATCGTATTTTTTTTTGTTTTGTTTTGAATGAACTTTAACGGTAGCTGGATTTTTTTTTATGTTGAGTTTTTATTCATGGTGAATCATCATTTTAGCTATAAGAAAAAAAAACGTCTAGAAAGATGTTTCGGTTTCTATTCGTATGAATTTCAGTCTCATTATCTATTTCATAAAGAAGGTTTGTTTACCCTTCCAATATTTTATGCAGCTGCCCTACGAGCCAAAAAAAAATACATTTAAGCGCGTAATAAACGGATTATCTGTCTCTTAAACTTCGATACGATAAAAAAAATGTTCTTTTGAAATTCTTGCTCGCCACATTTTTTTAACGAATTTTATCAACGGGATCCTAAATTCTTTTTAATCACGGAGCTCTTTAAAAAACTTTTATTCAAAACGGAGCCTGTTAATGTATAGCTGAAGCAAAAGCCAGAAAAAATTCTACTTTTAGTATTACCAAATTCGGAAAACATCTATTAATTTTAAGGCTCTTAATGTTGTTTCTCACACTTTCTTTCACTCTTTCTCTTGCGCAAAAGCATTGGTGTGTTTTAGTTGAGCGTTTAGTTATTTTGTATTGTTTTTTGTTTTAAATAAATGTCAAAATGGAAATTTAAAAAAAATGTTTTTCTTCCCTACACGCCGTACATAAGTACGTAAATCTCACGACGGAGAGCGCATATACCACAGCCATACGGCTGCCGGGCGTGCACACGTACAAACTTGCAGTCGCTACCCTCAGTCGTGAGTATCGAACTCGACAGTTGAGAGGCCCTCAAAAGTATATGCGTTTCAGATTGTATTTAACACGAAACGTGTGCATTCGTCGCCTTGCGAATTACTCGGAGAGGCAGAATGAAAAAACTTCGAGTCGAGCGAATGAAACCACAGACATTCACAACACAATACATTTGCTTCTGTATTGGTTGCAGTAGCGCGAGAGTAACGTTCGTTCGTTTAGATTTTATCAAAAAAAAAACATTTTTCATATAAAAATTGAGCGGAAATTTTTTTTTTCTTCACCAAAATTCGAATTAACAAATATGGAATGAAAAAAAAAATTAATTATCCTCAGTCAGTTTCGAAGCGATGTCAAAATTGGAACAGAATGGAATGTTCCAGACCAGAACACAGTCGATTGATTGGTTTGTATGCGTGTATCAATGTGTCATCGATCCAAACGAATGGATTCGCACAAAAGGAACAATGGTTGTGTGTATGAAGTTGCAACACAGAGGTTTTTGTTGCCAAATCGAAATTGCACCTATACAAACGAATCAGTCGACTTAATATATATTCAAGCGCGCATCGATCGAGCATCGTATTTGAATTTATTAACTGTGTGACAAACCAAAACAGCTTAGTTACGGAGCGATTTTCAAACACAGTGGACATGTCCTTGCATGCATTTGCTGTGGTATCGAAAGAGTGAGAGGAACAACTATGAAAATTTTCATCAACAAAAACCAAAAACAGAAAAACGGGTCAAATCAATGAGGGTGGCAACGTTCAAACGGATTGTTTAGTAAAACTCTTCTTTGTCAGCGGATATGTCTCGGCATGAGCTAGCAATTTCCTTACTAGTTTGTATTTGATTCAAAATGATATCATTGGTCGAATTGTATTCGCGTTGCTTTTGTGCTAAAAGCCTCGACACATGCTCCAGTGACAATTGGCTTACCTTCGTGAGTAACTGTTCGTCAAGATGTTTTTTCATATGGTCATCAATTGATTTTCGTGTAATATTTTCGTAAGATGTGTCATAGCTAGATGTGTTTTGGTTATAATTTGGTGAATCATAGTTGTTGCTATAGTTGGAACTGTTGGCCGAATAATTGCCGGTCACACCAACAACGCCGCCCGATGAATTCACAACATTACTATTTAGATTGATTGACTGTAAGTTAGCTGGATTGGTTTTGTACGGTGACGAAACCTGTGGCGAATACACCGGACTCGGTACATATGAGCTGGCCATCGATGCCGATGGATGGCCATATGATTGGTCAAGCAATGACGATGTATTTGTTGCCGTATTGAAGGAATTATTCGATGTATTGTATGAATTTTGTGAATTAAATGCCAACGGACTCAAACCATAGCTGTTGTACGAATCGAAAGATGATCCACAAACTGCAAGAAAATAAACCGAAAACAAAAAATTCAATAGCATTCAAATAACAACTGGACAACGTGTGTATTACTTTTCTTCTCTTGCAGCAATCTTATTTCAACATCTTTGTCGGCCAATTTGCTTTCCAATACCTTGAGATGTGCTTGTAAATCGTTCATTTTGCGCTGAGCTGAATGCACTTCTTCCAAATATCGCAATTTATCCTGCTTCGCTTCGGCTAGTATTCGATCGTCTTGCTTGTCCATGGTCGATAACTTTGATGTATTCTGCCTCCCATCGTCAATGTGACGCTGCTCATTTTCAACTCTGAAACACAGCCAAAAACAACACCTCAATGAATGATTCAGACCGCAAGAAGGTTGAGTGTTATCAAATGTTACCGAATCATTTGAGCCTTGTCCGCCATTTGCCACTTGGTTTCGCTGTTCGTACTGCTGCCACTTCGATTCGATTCTTTCACCAATTCCGGATCAAATTCTAGCATATTCTTTCGTTCGCATTGCTTCGGTTGCTGCAACTGGTGCAGTTGATTTAATCGATCGATATACATTTGCTTCTTTCTTAGTTCCTCCTCCAAGCGTCGGATATTTTGCTGTGCATTGGTCAATGCTGAATCCAAAATGCCAATGTGATTTCGTTGTTCCTGCAATGTTGCACGCTGTGCACCGATCTCAATGTCTTGCCGTTCCTTTGCTGCGCTCAATTCTTTATCTTAAACCAGAAATTAACATCCAAATAAAATATTGAACCGAAAATTGTTTGTTGAGGTCAAACAAAAATTAAAACTTACTTTGTGTGAAAAGTTGTGCGATTAAAATCTGATGTTCGGATGGTGCAAGCAGCTGACTTTGCAAAATATCCACTTGATCTTTCATAACTGAGTTGAGTTCTTGGACACGCTGTAGATCGCTCTGCAAACGCATACGTGCCGCTCTTTCAAGTTTCTCGCGGCGTTCGCACGTCTGCTTGAGTTCCTCATGCGCACGGTAAATATTTGTGACTTCTTCTTCAAGCTACGACAAAAAAAAAACATTAACGTCAATTCAATCAATCTGAATGTATGAAAATTCAATCCATACTTTCTGTGTTTTGGCCACTTTTGTGAAGCAATTCTGCAATTGTTGCTTAAGCAGATGATTTTCTTTGACCAGCGTTTCCATTGCATCAATATCCTTTTCGGGTAATCTACATCAATGATGAAATCACAAAAATCAACATGGTTTCTTTCCCACTTTATACAAGAATATGCTTAACTTACTTGGTTAAATCGGGTTGACTTTTGCTTTTAATTTTGCTGTTGCTTTGTTCATTTTGTTCGGTAATCACCCACTTCGTCGTGTGTTCTTTGTCACTTTCAAGTAGGCTGCGTTCACGTGATGATGATGTTCTCTGGCGATTGCTTGGTATTTTCATCTCTTTGGCGAGATGCTTTAGCACATGACTTTGATTTAAATAATCGTCGGGTATTTCGGTAATTTCTTGCATTCCCTGTTCACCGTACGAATGTGGTCGCTCTTTTTTGCCATCAAGATGATCGCCGGCCATGCGATTCAACGGTGCATGCAACGTATCATCCGGATGGATAATTAGCGTATTGTACGAACACGTTGATACATCCATCGACGATCGATTCGAATTGATGTTATCCTTAAGTGAATTTCGATTTGAACCGATGCCAATGCTAATGCTGTTATTTGGATTATTGACTATGCTTTCATTGGTGCTGCTATTCATTTGTTGGCCGCTCAAAATTGGAGTTTGACTCCCCGAATGACTACGATTACTCGATGCATAACGCGTTGAATCGGACGATGTGTTCGACGAGAAACGCTGTTGATCGGACACGTATCGGGCTGCATGCGAAATGATGCAATTTAATTTCGTGTAATCACACTTTTGGTCAAAATATTTTGAAACCGTTGATAACAAAATGAAATGGGTGGGTTTATGGAAATGGATTTTCACTACGTCACTATGTATTAGATGGATTGATTGGTGTGTATATGTGTATGTGTATGTGTATATATGTGTGTGTTTGTATTAATCTCTAACCTGAATTTTCATTACCACTTTGACTCGATTCGACCAAATTCTCCTGTCCCTGTGGTTCGGCACGTGGTGTATGGCGTAAAACATATCGCTGTTCCATCGATAAGTTTTCGTTTGACGTTGAAATATCTGTATCAGAGCCTAAAATGTTTATTCAAATATTCTTTTGCTATATAAATACTGAAATTGTATAAATCGATTTGCAACAACACCAGCAGCGACAACAATGAAAAATGAAACACTGCATTGCAAAGTGAACGTAAAATAAGAACAAAAAAGATGTAATATGAAATTTACCGTAGGGTGATTGATTAGCTGGCAATTTTTTTGTGGTTTGCATTGTTTGGACAGGAGTGGATTTGATATTTTTCGTGTAAACAATGGTGGATGGTTTTTTGCCAACGATCGATATGGTGCTATTTTTCGTAAAATTATTCGCGGATGGTTTGACTGGTTGTTGTGGTGGTTGTTGACTCGTTTGTGACGAAACTGATGAAAATCGCAAGCCGGATGGTTTCGATGACATTCTACCGAAATTTCGCACGTTTACCAAGCTTCGTTAAATCGAATGTGTGATCCTTATAACAAACTGCCTAAGTCATCTACAATGATGTGATATGCGATACGATGCGATGAAATAAAACGAGATAGAGATAAAAGAAGAGAAGAACAACAACAACAACAAAAAGAGAAATCAACAATTTAATTTAAAGCCATAACGAATATATTGTATTGACGTCTGTAAACAATGAGAAACAAGTCATCACAGAAATATTTACGCCGAACTCTGCGGCGGCGAATTTATACTGTGACACATAATGGCAACAATAAAATAAATAAACAAAAACACAAATTCTTTTGCACAAACACATATATTCAGGCACATACAACGCTGAACGAAATGATGAACGAAAAAAAAGTAGCGACAAAAACCCGCTTCAATAAAATGGATGACACTCCCTAGGGAGATAGAGATATAGAGATATCCCAGTAGATCGCACACATTATTTTTCCATCAAATTCATTTTGAAACGAATTTCTGAAGGGAAGATAAGTCCAGTTTGAACTGTAAGTTTGTCAATGCCATCGCACACAAGCCGAACCACACACACTCACACGCACGCACACACATTCACTCTTCTCATAACAACAACAAAAATGATCAGTCAATTTGCTACATTGATGATGGTGCTGCTACTGCTGCAGCTGTTATTGTTGCGCGATTCATTTGTGTATAGCATGATAGCACCTATGACGTTCTATTTTGACGTGATATTACGCGGTTTCGACCACATTCACATGAATTATATTCATAAGCGATCTATCACCAATTTGGTGTGTGATCACATACAATTCAAACGGTTTTGAATGACTGATTTGCGCTTTTCAAATATTCTTTTTTGGCTCGAAATTGTGTGCGTGTGCGTGTGCGTGTTTTTTTCCATATCTTTCTTGTTGTCCAAATTAAGCCATTGGAATTCGATTGTCGGCAAATGAATGGAATGGAATGTAATAAACGCATTCAGCCGAAATAACCGACTCTATACACGGTACGAACACATTCTTTGCGTACGTAGTTACGCATTTGGAACGGTGCATTTGGCAATTATGAGTTATTACTGTAGATGGCTTATGATTGCACCTATAGCAACTGCATTCCGATAGAGGCACATGGATATGCAGAGGGAGAGAGGGAGCATAAAGCCCAAATGTTATGCGTTTGAAGGCGCAAACGAATGTATGTGTGACGTAAACTATGCTGAACCCTCAGGTCATTGCTCATCTCGTTGCCAAAACGAGAGATTCATCCAATTGGCAAACTCTTGCATCAATTTGGATAATTGTAGGGGAAAAACGACCACACGCAGCATATACGCACACCACAAATGCACACAAATTGCATATGGCAAATATGCCATAAGCACAATAACAGATACAGCAAAAATGTGTGGAATGTTGATAGGGAACTTAATGAAATACGAGGTCACCACACACACGCGCACACACACTCGATTTTGTACGTGTTATTTAGGTGTACAAGTTGATGGAAATCAAAATTATTTTTTTCTCAATATCTAGCGCGTAAATTGGAATCTGATTGCAAAAGTAGCCACATGAAATATCATAGTGGGCTGATTTATCAACATAATTTTTGCGAAATCGGTTCTCGTTGAAGGGAGAATAGAAAGACAAAAACAAATGCATTCAATTTTCTCATACGAATAATATATCTCGGAGGATGGGTTCAAAGGTTCACACAAATGCGATATTTTGTGCACGTAAAACACACTCGAATCACTTGAGCACACTCATATTCTTATTTCTGTTCTTCATTTTCGATCATAGATCGCTGATCAGCGATGTCCACTCAAAACAATGCATTCCCATTTAGATTCGAATGAAAATATACACATTTTATCACAAATTTAAACCTATTTGCAATTTACACTTACAATCGACTAAAACAACGATTTTTCCATCGAATCGAGCAATGCAACTTCAATTTTTAATTTATCTTCTTTTTATTAAAAAAAATAAATAATCAAATGTACAATTTTTCAATTATTCATTTGCTAAACACACGATTTTGGCACATTAGGAAAAAAAATAGTTTGCGCATAGCTCACTGGCAGCGCTACTTTAACAAAAAAAATTTTTTCGTCTTTTCTTCAACTTTCATTGTTATTACTATTATGAAATTATTAAGTCGGACGATTCGATACAATGTACGGGCTGGATCGTGGTGAGTTTCATTTCCAAAAACGATCGCATATCGGATTTGTTGGGCCGCATGGATTTATTGGATTTTCTGGTCGCACTCCCAGCGATGGATTGTAGTAAATGGCACAACCTGAAAGCACAAATATGATTTTCTTTTCTGCAATTTTTGTCCTTTGCTTGAAATGACCAAGCGATTAATATACTCACTGCCGTTGTTGAGTACTCGTATTTTTCTCGCTCCTTCTGGGTTAGTGTGCTTGCCCATTGAAATCATTTCAAAACGATTTGCGAACAATGCTGGACAACACTTTGGAAATGGTCTGGTCAAACAGATCGGATGGCCTTGGCATTCGGATCTCTGGCAATCGTATTGCAACCCATTTCGCCGTGTACAATTGCAATTTGCAATTAAACGTCCTCCACGAAGCTCACGGCTTCTACTGGCTAAATTTTTCCATGACATTTTTTGAAATTTTGTTTTTTTTTTACTAACTCTCAAACTGAGTGATTTAGAAAACACTTGCGTTCTATACCGAACAAAATTTTTTATTGATTCGATTGAACAAAAGCTAACTAGATCAGGATCGAAATTCAATTTTCATTATTTTTAAAAATGGAGAACTTTTAAATCGAACAAATTCACCACATTCGTATTCACCTCATTCACAAACTGACATATGGCTCATGTCAAGTTTGTTTACCACATCGTCCATCCGAAACAAAGTACTTTGAGCGATAACATCCGAGAGTGTTGTTAACCTCGAAATGTCAACTGGTGCTCATTTAAATTTCAATTTCAACAACGAATAGAGAGCGAAGAAAAATAAAAAAAAACGAAAAAAACAAACAATGTATAATCGATTTTCGTATACAGTCTCGAGGTCAATCCAGGCCGTATTGAATGGAAACTTTAGTAAATGTTTGCAGTTCAGTCGATCAACTTCGATACTGGCATGCAAATTCAGTACGATACCGGTTTCGCGACAGAGTTATGTAATAAATTATGACAAAATTCGTATCGCATCCAGTACAATAATAATGGGCCAACCGTATTCCACAGATGCACAGATTATAGTGCCAATTGTCAGCTATGAAGAAGTTAAAGATCTACCAAATCATCCGGAAAAAACATTGATTGATGTCAGAGAGCCGAATGAACTACAGGAGACTGGAATTATTCCAACTTCAGTTAATATACCTTGTAAGATTTTTTTTCATAGGATTTCATTTCTCTCGCTATTTTATGATAAACTGAACTGTGGTGAATGTTTTAAAATAACCAGAATCTGTGTTGAACTTTTTTTCGACAGTGGGTGAAGTTAATACTGCATTGAGTTTGAGCGACGGTCAATTCAAAACGAAATATAATCGAAGCAAACCGAAACTTACTGACGAAGTAATCTTCCACTGTAGAATTGGGATGCGATCGGAGAACGCAGCAATCGCAGCCAATAAATTGGGCTACTCAAAGTAAATTCAAATTCATTTCATATTATATTTGGTATCAATTTATTGATTCTTCTCCGTTCTTATTCAAGTGTCAAGAACTACAAAGGGTCATGGTTGGACTGGGCAGAACGTGAAGGACTACCTAAATAATTTCCATTTTACCAAAGAATTCGTTCAATAAAATTTCATAAAAAAATAAAACTAAAGTTGCATTTATTTGTATACTTAAAAGATAAAATGAATGCTCAAAACTCGGTTTTGCATCAGCATAAATTATCATTTTTATTTATTCCACACATTAAACATCACATTTTGATTACATTGTTTTTCCCTTTGAGTCTTTCCAATTTCTTCATTTCGCTTAATTGTCGCACAAATGATTTCCATGTTAGTTTTTTTTTTCATTCAAATGTGTCCTGAATTGGTATGTATATCAATTCTCAATTTTGATTTGTGTTCGCATGCAGACTTATTCTGTGGATCTACCTGGTGTAAAATAATTAAAATAAAAGTTGTTTTTTTTCTCTTTTATTTTCTTGACAAAAATAATTCACTTTTTGTTTCTCGTGCCATTTAAAAAAAAGGGAAAAAAATAGATTCAACAAAATAAACATTCATAAATAATTTTCAATCACAACAATTCAAAGATCCCCCAATTCGATTCATTAAAAAAAATTATTCAAAATATCGCGGAAAAAAAATAAATATATTCTTGTTATAAAGTGAGACGGGGATTAACTTAAAATACTTTCGATTTTTTGCGTTTGATGCCGGTATCGGCTTTCAACGATTTCTTCTTTTTCAAGCGGCGACCGTCTTTGGTCAGGCTTGATTTGAAACTGACTTTTGACTTGAGCCGTGAACCGGCGCCCGATGTGCCCGCACTGTTGAACCCACTTCGCAGTTTAATGGCTGAACTCTTAATTTTCGTACTCTGTACAATCGACGACTGACCGATTAACATTGATGATGTTGATGCGGATGTTTTGCGTAGGAAATTGCCTCCCATTGGTTTTTTCGGTGCATTCGGAAATTTAAATGGATTAAATGTGGTGGATGGTTGTGGCAGTAATTGATATGAACAACATGGTACGTCTGGATCGAATGACGAAGTGACAGTTGGCTGATCGATGAATGCCGACAATTCGACATCGGATGCGGAAACGGCTGTATTTGGTGTGCTATTCGCAGGTACTGTATCGTCTGACTTTAAATTCAAATTACTTATGGCATTCATGTCCAGATCAAGGCCGCCCGTGGCATTATTATCCTTTGGCTCAATTTTGTCACCACCACTGCCGCCGCTGCCGCCGACGCCACCGACCGAGGTGAACTTTTTATTGGCCACCACTTTTTGGCGTTTGGTCGGTATCGGAGCGGTGGTTGATGTGGACGTAATCACATCGCACAAAACCTTTCCCTTTTTTCGGCTCAACGACACATTTGTCGATTTCTCCTTTTTGCCGTAGGATATTGATGGTTTGTTAGTGGTGTGACGCTCTTTGTTTTCTTTACACACATCAGTTGTTAGTGGTGAACTGCATGCAGTGGATGTTTTTAGAGATTTCAATTTCGTGTGGGATGTTGTGGCCTAAATGCGAGATAGAGAGATAAAAAAAACCACAAAAAACCGGCGTGTCGGTTAATTATTTTTCTAAATGATTCATTGACTAAATAGAACATGTGAATCATATTTCTAATGGATTGAAGGGGACATGTGCAAGAATAGGTGCTAATTGACTCTTTTTTCGTATAATTATTATGCGACGCTTAATTCTTTTCTTATTCGAAAACTCATTGATTGGCTTATGCTGTAGATTTGGATTCTTTTTTTTTCGTTTGTTCAAAAATGAAATGATAAGTATTACAATTAGACTAGAATAATTTGGCTGCAATTTCATTATGAGTAAGTTTACCTTCTGAATTGGATCTGCTCGCAATAGACCGCGTTCAATGTCGTTGCGCAATGCATTTCGAAGACCCTGTAAACTACGGAATTCCGACATACGAAGTCGTGACGATGGATTCGATTCGGTTAGATCTAAAATCGATGGTCCCAATGCTCGTCCAACCTAAATCAAACAAATGGAAGACAATTACGAAACAATTCACGGGTGAGATTTTTTTTAAATTTTCAAAAACCTCTTCAAAAACGTTTGGCGTGTATTTCGGTGGAATCGTGCAGATCTTTCGAGGATTCAACTCTTTCTCCCTTGGCGGCAGTACATTCACATACTTTCCCGTATTATAGTTCCCTTCCAACGTGTAACTCTTAATCAATCCAATCATTTTGTAGATGGCAACTCGGCCAGACCCTTCTTTCGACAAGCCATCACGTTTCCCTCTGCAAATAAAATGACTCAGGTTACAATCTAGGTATACATAATGGTCTAAATCCCTTACTTATGGTACATATTCCGTTCGGAGAAAACGCATGCATCAAAATGAAAATGATGGCTGTTCATGCTCATTAGCCGCGGCAGAAGCATGCATTCTACGGATTCAGCGATTTTTGGCAGGTAATTTCCATACATGAAAACGCCCTTCTTCGATGCATGCCCATGCAAATCGATATACAAAAACATGTTGCTCTGTTCATCACATTTTGCTTGATTCGAATCTTTACAAAAGTCCGAACTAATGTTTATGTTGGCCGGTGTCGGTGCGTGCATAAATTTGCGCAGCAAAGACGATCGTTTTGGACTTCGACTAGATACACCGCCCGACATAGGTGCGACCAATGTGTCACTGTCATTTTTCGACAGTTTTCTATTTAATTTATGATTATTATTCCCTGTATTTGACTTGAGTGGCTCTTTCTTCTTTTCGCTGCGTGCACTTTCGAATGTACTGCTCGAATATCGTCCGCTGGCATCGGAGCCCGAGTCGCGTCCACTCAACGATGCTGGTGCCATGAATGAGCTTTGGTTTGTGATTGAAGATGGTCTTAACGATAGCTTTTTTACTTTAAGAACTTCAACATTTGACGTACTCGCTTCCGTCGAATTGACTTTCGGTATTGATGATATCGTCGGTTTGGCAATATACGATTTGCTGCTATTCACTCCCGTTTTCAGTGTGCTATTGACTTTACGGACTTTTACGGTTGGTATCGTGTTTGGCGCTGTTTCTTCAGCACTGCTCGGTGCTGACGTGGATTCCGTTGAACAGCTTGGCTTTGACTCCAGTTCCGTTTCGGTTGTCGGACTTTGTGTTAATGATATCGATGGTGTTGATGAATTTGACGGTGGCATTGAAACGATTTTTTCAATATTTCGATTGTTTTTCGCTTCGATATTTATTTCCGTTAACACATTGTTTGATCGCGTTTTCTCTTCGGATGATTCGCGTTCCGGTGTATCTGTATCAGTCTCTTCGAAGCCAGATGATGCTATATCTAATTCCAAATTTGGTACATCAATTTCAGCAGCAGTTTCATTTGTCACATTTATGTCGACGCTTTCATTGTTATTTTCAGCATTGGCCGTAGTCGGTAGTGATTCATCGTCGATATCTTTTTCGTTGTGATAATATCTGAGAATAATGGATAAATATGAAAAAAATGAACAATTTTTTGTTCAAAAATGTGTACTTCAAATTTTGAACTTGCTAAAAAATAATAATAAACATCATATATTTACCTTATCAATTTTCGTACAGCAAAAATTGGCGGTTGTGTTTCTTTTTTCGGTGCCAAATAAACGCGATTCAAATTGTGACCCAAGACATCTGATCGGTAATGCCCATTGTATACACCATCTGGATTCAGTAGCGGAATTATTTTGAACACGTACATTTTTCTATTGGAAATAAAAATTGAAATGTAATGTCGACAAAATATTCGATGCTGTTTTTTTTATTAATCAATTTAAAATTACCGAAGTATGGTGGCATATCGATTTTTTCGATCTAATATCATTTTCAAAAACCCATTCAATATGAAAGATGCTGGCGTTTCGCCCGGATGAACGCGCGATGATATAAAAATAATCTGAAAGCATATTTCATTGATCGAATTAAATGCGATGCAATTGATAAAAATCAGTTGGGTCGTACCTTTTTGTTTTTGAACAGTTTACATCGTTTGGAATGCGGGTCGGGGAATAGTTCGTTAAATCGATGCTCGTGCTCATTTTGTATATTGTGGAATGAAGTGATTGTGAGCAGATCAACGCGTCTACCTTCCACCGAATTGATCAACAATTCACGATGATAGTAAATATCATTTTCAATTTCGTCATTCGATTGATTTTCCAGCATGTTCATACGCGATGTTGATACACGTGTCGGTGTTTGCTCTGCTAAATATAAATAAGAAAATCGTTGAATAACAACTAAATGATAATAATAAATCAAACAATTATCGATTGCCATACCATTGGGTGCATTTTGTACATTTTCAACGCTTGCAACATCCGTATTCTCAAAGTTGATTGTATTACAGTTGATATCGACATCGACATCGACATTCAGACGCTGAAGAATGTAATTCATTTCATCCTCTGACTTTAGGTATAGGCTATCGAAACGTGCCAACTGATTTTGGCATTCGGTAAATGTAAATGGGAACGTAAATGCATAGTAAAATTTTGTCGTTATATCCGTTTGTGGTTTGTGTAGAAAGCTGAGCACAAATTCATTATCGTTCACCTGCAACAATAACAAAAAAAAATAGGAATGTGAAGTTCGCACACACAGTGGTACCGGTAAGTGAAATGAATTCGGATGTTAATGATTCAATGTCAATGACAAATGAAAACATTGTCAAAAGCAATTGAAGCATGTTTTTTTTTTCTTTCGGTCAGAGGGTGAAAAGTGAGACAGAAAAATAAACTAACATTGTAGACGGGTGAGTATTTTGTACGCTCCCATTTGCCTGTTTCACCAACTCGTATAACCGGATGCATGCCTTGGCTAAAGAGTTTCGATTGCTTGTTTAAATTCACAATGTTCAATTTGCACACTTTGTTTGGCTCGCCGCCTGAAAAAAGAACCGTGTTATAAGCAAATACACGAAAGGATTATTTTATTCACCCAATTCGTTTTTCATTTCATTTTGAGAAAACAGGCAGAGACACATTTTTTTGCATTTGTCAAGAGTTACAGTACAATAATCGTTTACCTTGTATGCTGAAAAAGAACCATGATCGATTGAGATTTTCATATTCGGTGCCCGCGCAATCCGGCTTCGTCCATAGATTTAGTTCAACGGCTACCGCCTCATTATTTGGCTGTGCTTCTACAAAAAAAACCATACGCAAAAACACATCATCATCAGGAAGAGTGTGCAAGAGATACTTAAAATTCGATTGGTTCGCACATATGTTCGCATACACACAGCTCAATAGCAACAGCAACGGCAGCAACAAAAAAAAACAATAACAAAAACAACAAATGACGTTTCACAAGGTCGAAATAGGTCAAACAGAAATTTGGATACAAAGGTTTAATCTATTGAACTATTCCAACACTAAATTCACTTCATTGTTATTCTTCTGTTGTTTTTGTTGCTGTTTTTTTTGTTCGCGTTTCCGTGTCAAACGATTTATCGATCGAACACTAATTGTCTAATTGTCTATCGACCCTTTGGCTACCACAAAACGGCTGTGTGTGCTGCATTCGAAACAATTATGCAATTTAAATTTATGATGATGTACCTTCATGCCATTTAACCAGTTCAACTTTGTGCAGATTGCCTGAGTCGAACTTCGATGAAAAAATGTAGCCAGCGCATATGAAATTATCCATTTCGATGTTGTTGTGCGTTTTGTTGTTGTTGTTGTTGTTGTTGTTGTTGTTATCTGTCGTGCACACACAAATTGAAAAACTGAGTTACAGAGCAAGAGGGAGAGACACACACACAGAGGAGATTGCACAAATTCTATTCAAGTTTCATCAATGTTTTTGTTCCAGATTTTTCGATGTGTTTATTTGATTGTCACTTGACCATTGATACGCTTCACAATTTTCAAGTCCATTTAATATTAACAATGACAACAACTGAAAAACGTCACTGATGCGATCGAAACAAAACAAAAGTAAATCGAATCAATCGCAAGAAATCGACGAAATAATGCTTGAATTTTAGTGTGTTGTGCCTTGATTTGATTTGACTTCGTTTGTAAATGATCAAATATTACATTATTCTCGCAGCGAGTCGAGAAATGACTCAATGGTTGACAAAGACACTTGCAGTCAACGCGCGCGTCACACAAAAATAAAAATCTTTTAAACACGTTTATTGTTATGCGACGAATTTCATCTGATACACACACGTTGCGGTCGTTGACGATGAAAAATGAACAACACAAATTTGTTTTTGTGTGTGACTTTTGTTATTCATCTAAATTGTGTGTTATTGTTATTCTCTGCTGCTCTGTGTCCATGCCATTGTGTTTGTTGATTTTTTTTTGGTTGTGGTCTTAGCGCTTATCTCTCTCTCTCTCTCTCTCTCTCTCTCTCTCTCTCTCTCTCTCTCTCTCTCTCTCTCTATCTTGTTTTTTCCCGTCAGCTTGTTATTGACCCAAAATTTTGACAATCTCTTTCGCTCTCGCGTTTATTTGTATGCTGCTACTGCGTTTTCAATCGTGATTTCACAATCGAATTTCACGAACGAACTTCTTTTTCGATTGTTTGTGGGAATATATCGATGTAGTGGGGAGAAAATAAATATCAAACAAGTTTTGTTGTGTTTCTCTTCTTCATATAAATATACGGAGGCTATTTTCGTTTTTGACAGTATTGTCAGCTGATTATATAAACAGTATTATTTATAATAAAACCAGACACACACGAAAATGCGTTCGATTTTCAAGCACTTTTTTCCGTTCCCTCAATCAATTTTAGCAAATGTTTGTTCTTTCTCTGTCTTTCCAATTACTTGTCACACAATTTGAGAATGGTTTTTCGACAAAACACACATTCGTAGTTTGTTTTCTTATTCCAATGTCGTCGTCGTCGTTGTTGTTGTCGATCAAGCAATGAAATAGTATTGCACTTTTATTTAGCTGGCTGCCATATTGAAAATTATTATTTTTCTTTATCTTTTTCGTCTGTGCGATGTTTCTCGGTTTTTCAATTTGGTTGAAATGCCATAAATGCTCTCTCAAATGGCTGGCTGATTGGTTGGTTGGAAAAGAAAATACGTGTGTATACGATACGTATATATAATAATAACAAGCACAAAATATGGATTCCAATGTGTGTGCGTTTTTTCTTCTTTTTTTTTATTTTGAGGCGCATACTATTGAAAAACCCGTTCTAAAATTGGAACGTGTGCTTCGATGACATTTCCAACAATTTCATTCTGTTTGGTTTAATGAGAATGCATTGCATACTGAGACTACCGTTTTTTTTTATTCTGCTTCTAACAATCGAGACTGAACTCCCATTCCGGGTCACAAATGCAATTTATACATGAATTGTTTGTGTCTTTTTTTTCGTGTGCGCTGCATTGCTACGACACTGGAACAACCCTGCATATATACACTCATGTCAAACGCATTCGCAATGTTACAGCCCTGCGCTCATTGTACTCCACCACATTCACTTCGTAATAGAATTTGTTTTGATAAACTTGTTTTTCGTAGTAAAAGAAATCGTTTATTTTTCCATGATAAATAAAATGCATCCATTCAATGGGTTGGCAGTCATAACAATTTTTGTTCGTACATCTTGTGTTTCAACAACATTTCTTTGGTTTTCGCATGCAACTCAACAAATTGCTTAGTAGTTTATTAGTTTTTTGATTGCGGATAGACATCGATATTTGGTTGGTAAATAGAATGGTTCGTGAACATGCGGGAATGGTGTATCCCAACCGGTTACACGTTGTACTGGCGCTTCCAAGTATAGGAAACAATCCTCCTAAAATTGAAAGAATAGGCAGTGTAGAGAGATTCTATCTTAATATACGATTCGATGTACTTACTTGAATTGTAGCTGCTAATTCTGCACCGAAACCGTTAGTAAGCGGAGCTTCATGGGCCACAATAATGCGACCAGTCTTTTTAGCTGACTGTGGAAAAGAAATTGAATCAATTTTTAGCGCATGTTATTTGGATTGAAATTGGTTTTCAAATGACTCACATTGCAAACAGTGTCTTTGTCCCATGGTAATATTGACACCAAATCGATCACTTCACAATCAATATCAAGTTCCTTTTTTGCCATTTCGGCCACTTCTTTAAGTACATGCACTTGTGTTCCCCAGCCGATGAGCGTCACATCTTTGCCACTTCGTAAAATATCCGCTTTTCCAATTGGACACTCAAATGATTTATCAGGTACTTCTTCGACTGCAGCTCGATACAATGTTTTTGGTTCGAATATTATGCACGGATCCTTAGAGAAGCAAAATGTGAATCAAAATCGAAGCAATGTAATCAAATAAAATTTTTTTCGTTTAGATTGATCTTCAGATCTCATTGTCCATTTACCTTATCCTTTATGCAAGCTAAAAGAAGGCCTTTGGCTTTGTTTGGACCGCGGGGAACGACGATTTTCAAGCCAGGTGTGTGGGCAAAATAAGCTTCGGGACTTTGTGAATGATAAAGAGCACCGTGACCAACAGCACCGCACGGAGCTCGAATTGTTAGTGATCCACAATCAAATAAATTTCCACTGCGATAACGATATTTTGCCGCTTCGTTTACAATCTGATCGAATGCCGGCATAATATAATCAGCAAACTGAATTTCGGCTATGGCCGTTGCACCAGTATTTGCAATCCCAATTCCAAAACCAACGATTCCTTGTTCGCACAATGGCGTATTAAATACACGATCCTTACCATATTTTTTCTAGAAAAAGAACAAAACAAATCCATGTTTATGCCATCAAATAGGAAAAAGATCATGATTTTGACAATTTGTGGCAACGTGGACATCGCAGCCGGCTTACTTGTAAATTTAATGAACATCGAAACACACCACCAAAACCCACATCTTCCCCAAAAATAACTGCCGAGTCATCCTCCTTCAAGGCAATATCCATAGCATTGTTAATTGCTTGGAACATATTTAGTTTTGTGGTTGGTCCATCAACGGGAGCCTTCCCATCGGCCTGGTATACAAAGTGAGAGCTTAGACGAACGCTATTGCTTGCCCCCAGACCTCCAAACATTGACTTAAATAGTGATAATGACTTTTGTGTTGCCGTATACATTGTAACAAAATAATCTTGCACCAATTGGACTAGAAAAACAAATCTTTATTTCTTTTACGAGATTCACTCAATGCGTTATTAGCTTTCAAAGTAAAACCAAACCCGTCACTAAATTATTTCAATGTGAAAACGATTGAAATTTCACGTCAAATTCTCACACTAAAACTTAAAAATTATTTCAAATAAAAACAAGTCGATTTAAAATGCGTGTGACATTACAACTATACAAAAATTCGACTCACAATAATAAAGATCGAATGTGACGTTTTATCGCGCGCTCCTTCGCCTATGGGCACACAACAACAAGAGAGCATTCATGAATATTGATAAGACAGTGTGTTTTTCATGTTGCTTTTCAGCACATTTTCGCCTTAGCCGACTGACGTACATTTTTCTCCCGATGTGTTTTTCGCCTTTGCTCTGTTTACATTTTGTGTCTCTATGTGTGCCTGTATGGTATATTTTTACGTAGCAAATAATCAACTCAAAAAAATAAAATGACAGATCTTCTGAATAGTATCATCAAGCTGATTTATTTGTTTAATATGAAATTGTCTTAATGGTTATGAAACGAAAGTGAGAACAGAGCAGAAAATGTATTTTAAAATCCGTATTTGCTTTGTGTTTGTCGCCGTGATTGTCGATTCGTGGCCCACATGGCTTGTAGTTCTGCTTCGTTTGCCTTTGCCTGATACGCCAAATAGGTGATTTGATGTTTTTTCTTCGTTCCCGCACCGGGATCGCCAGTAACCAACCGTCCTGTCGGTTGATACTGTGTTTCGCCTTGTAGTTGACTTCGTTGCCATTCTTCGTTTGATGTCACTTGATCCTGTGATATATCAATGAACTGAATGTCTTCCTTTCTTGATCTCTTCGCGGCTCGAGCACCAATCAGAGCCTCGATATTGATCTCATCTCGATGGGAAACATGCGATGACGATGCTTGTCCAGCATATTCATCGACTTCCATGACATTTTGTTCGGTTTCGTGTAAGTTTTTCGAAAATTTCGCCATTTGTGTGGCTTTCTTCGCAACCATGGCATTTATTTCCGATGCACTAACTTCGGGCAATTTTTCTTCGGTGTTTAGCGAGAAGAAATCACCACCTTCATCGTCGTCGTTGTCACTGTCGTCACTGTTATTGTAATTTAATCCTAAACTAGACTTTTTGACCACCGTTGCCGTTGATTTTGGTTTCGGTTTTGTGGCCGCTTCCTTCATTCGATTGGCAACTGTGTGTGGAACTAATGAAGTAGTTTTGGTTATAGACGGTTTTGTTGATATGCTGGACGTGGATGAATCGGGCTTCTCTTTTGGTTTGCCAAAACCAGCATGAAATTTCGGTGGTGGCAGCATTCCGAGTAAGCTATTTGGTTTCGATGGATTCGGTCCAACTGATACAAGCTTTCCTTTTGGAGCATCATCACCCAGATCGGCTAATGATGGTATGGTAATTTTAACAGGTTGTCGAGCGCCTGGTTTTTGTTTGTTTGGCTTTTCCACGAGCGATGGTTGCACTTTTTTATGCAGGAATTCGTCATCTTTCTCTTCGATTATTATCGCCCGTGATTTTTTCGGTGCTGGAAGATTCAACTTGAAATCCTCTGTTTCGTCGTCATCATCATTATCATCATCTTTGTTGTTGGTTGAATGCTTCGGTTGAGGTAGATTTAGCGATTTACTTGTTTGTTGACCATTTTTTTGTTGATTCGACGTCGAACCATGGCTTGTTTTCACACGTTCTACGTTGTTGATTTCCTCTGTGCTTTCACAATCACTATCGTCATCACTGCTGGCAGCGTATGCAACCAAAGACATGATGTTCCAATAATCTTTTCTTACTTTTTTTTAAAGACGGTTCTGAAATGCCCGAAAGTTTTTTATTATTTCTTAAAATGTTTTTTACGCCAACCAATGAAACTCAAACGAATAACACCACGAATATCAGTGAATGACGTTTCGACATTCCACCTTTCAATCAACACTTTTATAGCAGTTTCGAAATGTCAAACGCATATTGGCAAAGAGATGTAGATTGTTTTGTTTACAGAACCGTACACAGCTCGCTGGCATACCTCAAGTCAATTTTGTGGATTTTTCGGACTTTTTGGTTCGTCGAATCACAATTAAAAATGGTTTAGTCAATTTCGAACGCAAATAAAATCAAACCATCCAAATAAAAGAATATGACTTTGGTTCATCGAGCGCTGTTTACATGGTTTATAATACTAGTGTTTTGCATTTGCCTGTGTCTGCGACTGGAGAATCGAACGCAGTGGAATTATTTCATCGTTTTCATACCGCTGTGGATATTCGATGCGATTCTATTGATTTATGTGATTATAAAAATTGTAACGAAATGGCGATTTTTGGAACGGCTCAAAGAACTCATTCATTTCTATCAATGGTAAGTGGTGTCACTTTCAACACCATGGTTTTGATGTCCATCCAATTTTAACTCGTTCAAATGTTCAATTGTTTTTTGTTCGTTTTTATTTCAGGAACTTTGCTGTTGTTCTGCTGAAAATTGCGGCCGAAATTTGTATATGCTTGAAAATTGAATATCCACACATGAATCTATCAATCTACACCGTAATGATACCGATTTGGATTTTGTTACCATCAACAATCATCTATGTATTCATAAATCTCGTTAAAAATGAATAATTCCATTGATATTTTCATCAAATGATGGCAATTTACAAAACATTATTCAATAGATAACGAACCGAAAATGCGAATTAAAATGAAAATAAGCGACAAACAAATAAATAGGAACGAAAGTTGAAAGTTGGTTTTTACTTGGTTTTATTTTTTATTGCAATCGGGTAACACATATTCTGCTATAAAACTGCGTGTGCCCGTGGTATATTGTCAATTTTCAAAACAAATCATCGGTTGCTGCAAATGACACTTCACGTTTTGGAGGTAAAATATTCGTACGGCAGGACCAAACAAAAGTACAGAAAAACAATCTATGGATCGTAGGCCAGCTGATTGTGCAACAGAACCATTTTACATTGCCACACAATGAATATCAGTTGTTCAATTTGTGCGGAACTTTTTCGTGGGCCTGATGCACATAATTTACATGTAACACGATGCGGTCATGTCTTTCACAACGAGTGCTTAGCAAAGTGGCTCGAAAGGTAATCAAAACGATTTCATCTGCTGATCAAAAGGAATATTTTATTCTAACATTTGCCAATCATTGTTTAGGAAGAATACGTGCCCAGAATGTCGCAGCAAGACGACATCGGCGACAGTGATTCGTTTGTTTGTAAATATCGTTGACAGTACATATGATGAGAACGTCGACGGTCCACCAGATTTAGTCGGTTTACAAAATGAAAATGACAACTTGAAATTTCGACTGATCGAAAAGGACGGTGCGATAAAATCGAAGGAAGACGCACTCAATCGGCTGCAAGAAGAAAATAGAAAACTCAACACGGGACAAATGAAAACTCGAGAATTGATACTCACTTTAGAACATAAATTAGAACAAAGTAAAGTTATCACTAACCAATACAATGATCAGGTAAGCAAAGCATTTTGATTGAGCTACTTTTCCTCTAATTAGCCATACTAATTTTCGTTCTCATCTTATGTTGATCGTAGATCAGAGCATTAAAATCTCGTGTGAATGAAATCGACCACCTGAGAGAGAAATTGAAAGAGGCAAACGAGAAAAATAAGACAGCGGAACTAGTGCAACATCTAATCACTGGCTCTCAACAAGAGACTGAAGAACTACTTAAAGAAAGTCGAACTATGACTGAACTGGCCACAATGGTGACCACATTAAAACGAGAATTACGTAATTGTAACGCTAAACGTGCACAAGTCCGATCCAACGCCGAAGAGTTGTCGAAACAGTTGAAATTGTGCAAAGATGAAAAATCGTAAGTATTTTACAGACTTAGGTGGCATCTGTTCGAATAGATCAACACAATGGCGATGTTCTCATTTGTTTGTTTTCCTATTCCGACCATAGGAAACTAGAGGAAAAGTGCTCCATTTTGGAGAGCAAACTATTTCAATTGGAAAGCAACAGAGAAAATAAGAATGATTCAAGTGATCGTCTGAACATCATCGACAATGCTATCGAGAATAAATCGCCAACCGAACAACAGTCAGCCAAAAGGAAATTTGGTGAACACTTGTCATTGCCGAGAAAGGTGGCAAAACTTGAAACGACACGTAATGTATCGCCATCGATGTGTGTCAAAGCCAGTAGCATTGCAGGTTTGTCACCACTTCTCAAGCGAACCAAATCGGCCGATTTACATAAATTGTCACCCGTCAACGATGAAAAGAGTGAAACTTACTCCATTCTGAAAAAACCCCGACTGATCCAGCATCATGCGAAAAAATCCGAACTACGCCCATTACGACTCAACAAAGTGCCGACTCTATCAAGCGTTGACGAAGCCAGCACATCATCAAGCGATCCATCACAAGCATCCAAAGAACTTCCTCCCAGCAGTTTAAGCAGTAGGTTTACGAATTTAAATAATCGTTTTCGTTTGGGTTCCCTATCCAAACCAAACTAACTAGATGTATCTATTATTGAACCATTGAACAATGCTTTTGTATATTTTAGTGAATAAGCAATTGTACTGGAAATAAGTAAGTTGAGTGACGCGGTTTGTTTAATGCAAGCAACATTAGCATAATGCAGGCTGTTTGTTTTCTGGTTTTTTTTTTGTACTAAATTTGATAAGAAAAATATGTTCGTAAGGAAATGGTGTCTATTCTTCGATTAGATATCCTAATCGAATTAAATACGACGATATGAATAAAAAAAACTTGATTAAACGAATTATTTTTTGGGGCGTTTTTGACTTCAAACTGTCTTCTTTTTGTCGGCGATTACCTGAACCAGAAATTTTTGTTCCTTTTTACAATGCATTGCCATTGATGAACCAGTTTGGTTTCTTTGTAATCTTGTTTAGTCGATAAACATATTTTAATCTAGTTCTAGAAAATTTGCGATATTTTTGGAATCTTGAAAGACCTTGTCACTTGAGCGGAATTCAAATAATTAAATCCAAACATTTCTATGAAAACATGCGATGGAAGAAAGCCAAACACGTAGGTTGCTTCAATGAGAGAAACAATTATTTTCGATTAGGTATTGATTTCGTGCAAAAATTGTATCAACTAAATTATCACTATGGTGAGCAACAATTGATTGATCGAAATGGAAGATATGAAAGAGTGATTTGCATATATTACGCTAATCACAATGAATTTGCAGTTGTCATGTCAATTCCCACTCTGTTTTATCCATATTTCGGAATTATTTCACATTATTTACTAATGCCACAACAGCACCAAAAATTCCTATACAAAAAAAAATGCGCGTTGAATTACTATACAGCCAAAAGTTGGATAATAATTTCATCGACGATAGTGAGTATGCGATATCAAGGATACACTTTCATACGGAGGGGCCTGTAATAAATTCCATTCCGATTTATGCACGGAAATCGATTTTTATCGTTGTAGCAAAAACCATATTGTGCCATCCATCCATCTATCGAGTGTGTGTGGGGTATGTGAGTACATAGAACGGGATTCATTTTCCATGACTGACATGAACTCTAATTTTCAGTTTTGTTGTAACATTTCCATTGATTGGTGCACAGGCATAAAAGAGTTTTTTTTGTGTATATTTGTATGTTTTTTTGTTGATTGCCTGAAATCGTAAATTGAACGAAATTCGCAAGTACAATGTCATCAGCATCGTTAGTTGAAAAGCGTTCGTTGCGAAAGTCTCAGTCAAGAAATATTGAGACGTCGTCCACATCAATAACATCAGCACCGCCGACGACGTCCGAGTCTAATCGCCGTTTGAAGGAACAATCAATGCGATCCAAGCAACGCGACAGTTTACCTGATATCGGGGTGAGGAAGGGTAATCGCAGTGTACGCGCCTCGAACTTTGAACTGAGCAGCAGTGCCAATGATTTTGATAGTACATCTAACAATCATGATCGACAATCGGCGGCTAAATCAATGGCTGCTAAATCTAAAGCTGCCACCAAAACCACCACGAGCAATGTAAACAAGTCGGAAGTTAAGCCACCAGACGACAACGTTTTGGGAATGCTCAAAATGAGCTCAGTGGAACAAGAGAATTATAAGTTAGTGAATTCGATTTGTTTTTTTTTAATTATATTGTGGAATGATGTTGTTATTCAAAATTGTAATGTTTTCTATTGTTCGACATGTGTAGAAACCAAGCAGAGATGGAATATAGTGAGCTAACGAAGCAATTGGAACATTTGCAGATGATTGTCGAACAAGAACAGAAAAATCCTACGTCCGATTACGATGAATCGATCGAGAAGCAACAACAATTCAATGAAACGCTGAGAACTCAGGTTCATGAGATTCCACATTATTATTTAGTTTCAGACTTGATTGAAAAACCATGTCTTACAAGTTATGCTAATTGAAATCGATACAGGTTGCTGAGGCAAAAGACAAGCTCAAGAGTCTATCGCAGTCATTGAAGACGTTACGTTCATGTCGTAAGGATTGCAACATTCATATGCGAGATTTGATCATCGATTACAATTGCATCACAAAGGTATTTTTATAGCTATCCAATTAAATTACGCACATTTGTCGACGCACAAACTTTTGCCGTCAGTGATGGCCCGCCAAAAAAATTCAAAAATTCAATTCATAATTGTTTTCCCTCTTTTACACGCATTGAGTTAGAGTGAGCTGTCCAAGGAGCTTAAGCGCTTTCAGCGCATGGAAATCGATTTGAAAAACAATTTGGATCGACTACACTGGCGCATGGATTGTGAATCGAAGATGTATCACAATTTAATCGATCAATACCATAAACTACAAATGGATTTGTTTTATTTAAAAAATTTAACGGAAAGTTCATAAGTCACAACAACTGGCTTGCTGGAATAAAAATTAATATAATATACAAAAAAGCTGCTGTTGCTGCAGGATGTATGTTCGCAGAGAATGTCACACTTTTGAGATTTCAATTATAGATTTCAATGTGCAAGAAATAAAGTTCAATCCATTTGTTCCGTTTCATCTTTCAAAATCGAGCAATTTAATTTATTTTCTTGAAATAAATCCCTTCCCCTAGCATGTGATCGTGTACTTTCCACGAACGCAATCCAACAAATAAACAATAACCAAGAATCGGAAGGGTTATTAAAACTAGTTCACAATTTTTTCGATTGGTCATTTCGTCAGCATATAAAATACTTCGTCACAGGGCTGAATATTAAACCGTCTATTTGTTTTATTTGTCATGCACTCGCGAAAATACAGGTAATTGCATTCCATTTTTTTAAATAATTCAAAGAACTTAATAACACGAAGACGGTGGCAGGAGAACAAAAAAATGTCAATAACAACTCAATATCATCGTAAGAATGAGAAGCCATGACACACCTATATAGCTGTGAGTGAGCTCACAGAATCAAGAAATAATACTACTTTATTCAAATTAGCGTGCCATAAAAGCGATTTGAATTAGATTTTTTAGCAATAAAGCATTGAACTACGATTTGTATTTCATATAGGGGAGTCATCGTTGTCTAGCTCGATTTAATTTTGCATTCATTGAACAACGAAAAATTGTCGTTTTCCTTTTAAATGTGTTTTCTTTTTTTTTATCGGAACAAAAATTAGGTGTTGAGGTAAGCAAATGACTTGTCTATTTTTTTTTCTTCTTTTAATGGCATTCAAAATGCGTCTTCAATGCATTCCGTTATCGATAACAAATCACTTCAGTTTGAGCCATCGAAACGACAACAAACGCTATGAAATATAACCAATTTAATTCATTAGACTAATTAATATCGAAGCCCATTTACGAGAACTCTGCGACGTTCAGTTTGAATTTTGTGTATTATAATTTTTAGTGAGCAATTCCGTAGAAAAATGGATACAATTTATAATTTAAAGTTTTTAACGTTGTTAACTCGATTTAGTGTATGTTTTCTGGGATGTTCACTCATTTATTATACGTATCGATATTGGATTCGTGGTGAACGCTATACCAAAGATGCTGAGTCACCTGATAAAGTTGCAATTGTGACGGGTGCTAGCAAGGGTATTGGCAAAGAAGTGGCATATGGTTTGGCCAAACGTGGATTGCATGTCATAATGGCGTGTTACGATATGAAAAGTGGATTGCAAACACAAGATGAAATTATTAAAAAGACGGGCAATACAAATGTGAAGTGTATGCACCTCGATTTGAGTTCATTTAAATCAATACGCAGCTTTGCCGATGAATTTCTCAATTCCGGGTCACGGCTTGATATTTTAATCAACAATGCGAATGTATTTCACATGAAACGACGACTAACCGAAAATCATATCGAAAAGAATATTGCCATCAATTATTTTGGCCATTTCCTATTGACCTTGTTGTTGATCAAGCGCATGTCACAGACAGTACCGACTCGAGTGATTAATGTTACGAATTGGGTGCATCGATGCGTCGAAATCGATCCAACCGATTTATTAAATCAACGGCAGTTCTGTGGATTTATGGCTTATGCACGAAGCACACTTGCCAACGTCTTTTTTACACTTGCCCTTACCGAACGCATCGAGAATACGGGCATCACCTGCAATTGTATTCATCCCGGTATATCGTTGACCAGTGTTATAGACCGTCAATCATCTGAATCCACTTGGTTTCAGCCAAAGTAAGTTAACTGTGAACATTTTTAAAGTTGCAGTTTTCAATTGAATTTGCATTGACTTCAGGCTATTGGCAAAATTCTTGTCGAACATTCTTTGCAAATCGGATCGTGCATGCGCCGATACAATCATTTTTGCCGCCATCGATATCAGTGTTCAGAATCTCAGCGGAATTTATCTATCGTAAGTGAAATTTCTACACAATTTCAATCTGTTCTCTTTTTGACCCTTCTCCTAAATCCAATTTCTCTTCTGATTATCACTAACTATTGTTATATAGAGATTGTCAAATTGGGCAACCCGGAGCAAATGTTAACAATCGCAATATCGCCGAATGGCTATGGAAAAAAAGTGAAGAGATCACCGGCGAAACGCTCTGCGATTTGCCGAATAATTTTAAATTTTTAAAAAAAATCATCGTAGATTCATAAGCCTACCTGATAAGAATAATTTTTTAAAATAACGTGTTGTATTGCTCTGAAACCACCATTTGGCTTCACTTTGAATGAAAACAAAAAAACCACTTGATCCATTTATAAGTCGATTGAAAATACGACATTAACATCCGTTAATAACGTTTTGCTATTTATTCTGTAGTAATTAGCTCTTTGATTGTACTCTATTTACATTTAATTGTTTCGATTTGAATAAATCAGTCAGGGGCATTAATTGAAATCAAACGGAATAATTAAATTTATGGGTGATACTGTCAATGCATTTCAAATAAATTAGACCATAAATAAAAATTGATCGTCGTTATTGTTTATGATTGCTATTCTGTTTTGTCTGAATTTTCATTTTGACCAGAGACAAAATCAATTGGAACCGGTTTCCATGCAGTGGCCAATTGAACCGAATTAATCTCTATGTCGATATTCAAACGATTAGAAGAATGCAAATTGCAATTATTTTTTGGACGTATTTCGAATAATCAAATATAAATCACATAGATGTGAAATTGAAGAGGAAAAAAATCACACGCATTTTTGATGCTATTCAAATTTTCGGCTTGCTGGTGTCGGTGGAATATATAATTCACGTGTGTGTATTGCACACACGGAAAAATGAAGTTAAAAATACATGTGAGAAAGCTGCTGCGGAGCAGAAAAAAAAACAAGACCACGATCTACGAAGAAGAAAGAGAAAAACAAGAAATCTTGTATACAACGTCACACCAAAACAAACTGCGTTCACCGTAGCATGAATAGCATTTGGAATGTAATAGTCTTGTTGTCACAATTTGGTCTCATTGCTACTTCGCAGTCATACGAAGAAACATTTTCTTCGTAAATACGTCGTCTTAACATTGAAATTGACAAGACAAATAAGGCAGTGAAATATTGAGCTAAAACGATTCAGGGATCAAGTAATCAACGATATTTTAGTGATTAGTTCGAGTTTTGCTGGAATTTTTTTTCGAAGAAACAGTGATTTGGTTCGTATTTTGTTAGAGTTTTCATCAGCAATTTCATCGGTGTGATTTCGAACAAGCTGGTGAGTTGTTGGTGTTTGGTGCTATTTCAAGTTCTATGTGTGCTCCGTGGCTCTTTGCTGAAGTGCCCAATGAGATTATGCTTCACTTCAGATAATCAGATTCGGATCAGCATAATGTGTGTGTATCATTGATGGTGTGTCTGTGTGTGATTGTGTGCGTCGTCGTAACCATGACCATAAAACTTGACCAAGTAAAAATCATTCGATGAGTTAATGCATGGCAGAGAAAGAGATAAAACTACAGCAATTTTACAGAAAAATCTCAACACGCATGTAGAAAGTTATACAGCAGTGGCAGTAGCAGCAGTAACAGTCAGCGCATATATAAGTTTTATTTTTCTTTTCTTTTCTTTTTTCTTTAAAACAATAATACAACCAAGTGTGTGTGTGTTGTGTACATTTAACAAAGCCGCGTATACGCAACGACAAAACGAAACGATAAATTAGTTTGTTTCTCACGTTCGGGAGTAGGGAGAGAAAGAGAAACAACGTACAGCGCATTTTTATCAAGTACATCAGCGTTCGGCCCGTTCCAACATGAATACATCAAAGCTGAGTGGAGTTTTAAATTTTGCCAGGTAACTCGTATCATCATCATCATCAACAACAACTTATCTATTCATCGATTCATTCATTTCTCTGTTTGCTACAAATGCACTATCATTAATGTGTGTGGCTTCCAATTGGCGGTGTCAGTTTTGTGTGGGTTTTGTTTTCATTTGGTCGATCAGTTGGTTCCTAGTCGGTTAGTGAATCGGTTTACTATTCTGTGCACTTGTGCCACACTTTGCATCCACACAAAGCCCTGATCGTGAATTGAAATTTTATCGAGTGAGATACCACCACAAAAGTGAATACGTTTCAAAACAATCAGAATTAAGAGGAAACATTTTAAGAAAAAAAAGAAAGAAAAAAAAACAATTCGTGCATATTGCAATCACTCATGATGCATGAGACAAACGCTGAATTTGGAACAAGAGATGAAGAAAATGTCGGTATTTGGGCTTTTGGGTTAATTGTTATTGTTCTCGGCGGATTCGCAATACTCTATTACTTAAGGTATGTTGCGCCATTTAATTTTTTATTTTTGTTTTTACATTTCCTGTATATTGAAATTTGGATGGTCTAGCATGATGGACGGACACATCAAATATTTGATTTTCGTTGCCGTTTGAACAGCACACAGTGCCCATGCGATAAGCTTTCATTGGGACAAGGCGCCAAAATATTTGAATCTTTAAATTGCCCATTTGCTCAATCGTGTGTACACATTTCGAGAGTCTTAAATATTTCTATGCACACGTGTTTAGTGTTAAACCGATTTATCACTATTAACATTTTCCTAAAAAATTGTTCAATTAGCACCCGTCTACCGGTTTTAAATTCCAAACCGAAAATAAATACAGATGCGTACTACGTCAAACATGAATGTTTTCGTTGCGTTATTGCTGAAATCATGGGATTTAATAGGAAATCAATGACATAGCCCATTGGATCATATAACGATCCAAAATCAAAAATAAAAATCCAACTCAAATACTGTCGTCCAAAACAAAGTAGCTTTCTCTCTCGACATTTACGCATCCAAATGTTTGCTTTCGGCAATAAAAAAAGAAACACGATCAAAGCAGAGATCATATTAACGTGTTCGGTTTGTATGCGGTATTGTGAAGGGTCGATAAAGAAAGTCTTTCGTTTTACAATCGAATTTTGTGCTGCTCAAGCGTATAAATGGATTGGGCGGGCGGGCGTTCGAACAAGTAAGCAAGCAGACAGGCAGGCAAGTGTATTTTAAACACTATCATTATAGCCAATTTCGAGCGTGTGTGCGCGCCTGCCCGCTATCTCAGACTTTCTTACATATTTCCGATTTTTGTTGCGAAATCCACATCAACACAACCATAAATTTAGATGATGGACGGTCATGATGTGGCAAACGACATAAATGTTACCCAATGAGAGATGGATATAAAAACTATGCGATCAAGTCAAGTGCGTACGTGCATTGAATTTCATAAACTGCCTCAAGATCATCTCAAAAGAACCCGCCATGATATTGCAAAATACGGTTTCGTCAATCCAAAAATAGCAATGATTGACTTTGATTTCAGGCAGCGTTTCGTGTTTTATGGATGCGCTTTTTTTACGAGTGAAAACTAAAAAACCCATTTTGCATTGCAAATAAACCGAAATCATTTTGAACTTCACGTTCAATTGATTTGGAAGGCTGACTTATAGAAAATAGCGAAAAAAGCGGATGATTAGACGAAATGAGTGGTGTGAAAGTGCCAATCATCTTCAATTTACGTGAATACGTTATCTCGAAATCGCAGCTTTGTGTTCTACTCGGTGATTGTTTGCATTCCAAATGTTTTGACACATTGAAATCACATCGCATTTTTTCTAACTTTACACTTTTTCCAATTATCTTTTCAAAATGTTTCGAATACATCAGGAGTCGTGTGAATAAATATTTTTATAATTGACACTAAATTTTTGTCTATTGTTTTTGTTACTTCTCGCCAGAAAATGGATTCAGGGCGGCCAATTCTACAGCAACGTTCGCATCGATGGAAAAGTGGTGATAGTCACCGGCTGCAATACGGGCATCGGCAGAGAAACGGTGCTGGATTTGGCTGGACGCGGTGCACACATTCATATGGCATGCCGTGACTATAAGCGCTGTGAAATCACGCGTCAGGGTAAGCGCATCTTTCAATTACTATTATAAAAATTTCACTCTAAAGAATATTTCAGCATCTTAAATCTTGAAAAAAAATCATTTGTTGACGATTTTTGTTTTGTTATTCAATTTTGAACAGAAATCATCGCAAAAACCGGCAATCATAATGTTTTCAATCGGGAATTAGACTTATCTTCAATGGATTCGATTCGGAAATTTGTGGCCAAGTACTGATCAATTCTTTTCTTTTCTTTTCGATTGCTTCTGATGGTTTTAGCATCATTTTCTATTTTATTATTATTTTTTCGTTTCTTCGTTTTTAAAACCAGATTTTTGCAAGAGGAAAAACGTTTGGACATTCTAATTAACAACGCTGGTGTGATGGCTATGCCAAAGGCGCTAACAAAAGATGGTTTCGAAATGCAATTGGGCGTGAATCATTTGGGTAAATTTTGGCCTATGGAATATCAATTAATTTCTTTTATTAGTTATGTGTAAATTGGACACATGATAATTTTTCATTTTCGTTTGTATTTGTTCCAGGCCACTTTTTACTAACAAATCTACTGTTGGACATTTTGAAATCATCTGCACCGAGCCGAATTATTGTGCTCTCAAGTTTGGCGCATAAATACGGCGAAATAAATCGTAATGATTTGAACAGCGAAAAATCGTACAATAAGTACAATGCGTATTCTCAAAGCAAATTGTCCAATATTTTGTTTACGCAAGAGTTGGCAAAACGCTTAAAAGGCACCGGAGTAACTGTGAACTGCGTTCATCCAGGCATCGTTAAAACGGATTTAGGTCGACACTTGGTGCATTCTTACATTAAAAAACTCATTGATCCATTTACGTACTACTTCTTCAAAACGGCCAAATCGGGTGCACAAACTTCTATTCGGCTGGCGGTTGATCCCGAACTGGACAAAGTGACCGGCCAATATTTTGCCGATTGCCGAATGCAAAAAGTGGCTGCTTCAGCTCGTAAAAATAACAACGATGCCGAATGGCTGTGGCAAGCGAGCGAGAAAATGACCCGACTTTCATCACATACCCATCCAGTTTAAATGTGCAAGGAGATAAAAATCACAACAACACAAAATTTAAAAAGAATTTCCTTTTCTTTGTATAAATTATGCGTTTGTCTTGCAAATTTTCTTTTTTTCGAAAAAAAAACAATTTTAAACATTCACAGATAAGAGAGTAAAATCATTTAAACAATTATGAATGATGTCTTTTTCTCGTTATTTGTAAAAAGAAACTACATGAATGAAATTTTCACGGACTTAGGAACATTTCAAGTGAAATTGATGTGAGGCATAAGTATATTGAGCTTGGTATTTGTAAGTTATCTGAGAATGAAAAAGTTCTTTGAATTTCAGGCTTTCATGAGATTCCATGGTATAGCACTTGTTGGTCGGAAATATTCAGCAAATTAGACGATCTTTATAAATAGATGTTAGCATTGAGCTTGAATTGATCTGACCAATTCATAGACTGAAAACTGATTTAGAATCCAGCTTCGGCAACGCTTGATTCAATACGATTTGCACACTTCTGAGCTTTATCACTGCTTTTCGACTATCCCATCAAAATGAACTGGAGATACTAGCAACGACGGCACAATTTCGCAAAAATCGTTCGGAATTATTCCAAACGATCAATTGAATTTTTGGAAAAAGAAACCATAAAGTTCAATAAACATTCAAAATGTTTAATATTTCTCCATCAAAAATCTAATCGACTCTATATGTTGAATGTTGTGGTCTCTTTTTTCAAAATGCGATTGCACGATTGAAATGATTCCGAACGATTTTTACAGAAATTCGAAAGATTCTTGGGGATTTTGGATACCGGCACTGAAGAGCCAGCGACATCAGTTCGCTTGACCGTTCTTATGCAAATAATGCAGAATAAAATGCAATGTGTTAAATAAAGCACCATCAACCTCTCCAAAAATACACATAAATTAAAAATAATCTTCTTTCCACTTATTTATTTCACAAATTTTTCTCTTATCGACAAAAATCATCAACCAATTAACGTCTCTAGACATTTTTTTCTTTCGCGTGATGCACGTCTCTGGACGTGCGATTAAATAATTATTTTAAATAATGACATTGATATTTGCTTCTGCTAATCACAATCAACAGCTTGCAGCGTATTGATTTTTTCGCTTAACATATCTCAAAAGCCGAACAATGGTACTCGGTGTTATGCCTTGTATTCTGCTTGCTGCTGCAATCTGATAAATAAATCATTTAATATTTTACTTCAAATGTTATCGATTTAATGAGTATAAATGCTTACTGTCTGCGGCTCTATCCTCGCTAGTTTTTCACGTTCCTCTGCTGACATGCTTAATGAGTCACTGTAATCAATAATATCGAATAAAATACATTTGATAATTTGAAACGGTAAGAAATCGAATGCAAACTTACGCTGAATAGTCAATATCACTTGGAATGAGGAGTCCTTCATCCTGACGCACCTCTTCTATGGCTTTTGCCTGCAACTCTATTGCATGCTCGTACATTGCTTCAATCTGAAATGATGTTATTAGCATAAAAATAACACTCACATTTTATCTGTTTGAAATTCAATTCAACGAACCTTGATGCGATCGCAGACTATCCGATCATCTTTCACCCAGCCTAATATTTCCGGATGCAGATTTGCAATTTGTTGAACTTCTACATTGTCACTGGTGAATGAAAGCATATCATATGCAGATTTGCTGAATGCTTGTGATCGCGTTTTCTCATTGCCCAATTGTTCGCGCCATTCGGTCGTACTTTTCCGAATTGACTTGAGCCCAGCGATTGCCTTTTCCATCCTCTCTCTTGATTCGCACATGTGTTCGTATCGTTTCTTCGACACAAGGCCCATTTTGAAACCCTTCTCCGTGAGCCGAAAATCTGCGTTATCTGGTCGAAGGAGTAATCGGAATTCAGCACGGCTTGTGAACATTCTGTACGGCTCGGTCGTTCCGAGCTGTGTCAAATCATCGACTAGTACGCCAATGTAAGCTTCAGTTCGGCTTAATGTAAGCGGCTCTTCATTTGCAACAACAGCGGCAGCGTTGGCACCGGCAAGAATTCCCTGGCTCGCAGCCTCTTCGTACCCGGTCGTCCCATTGATCTGACCAGCTAGAAACAGACCATTGACCTTTTTCGTTTCCAATGTTGCGTATACTTCACGTGGATCCACCTAATGATGGAGATTTTTGTCAATTTTTAATGTTCAGACATTGATATGACACTTAAATGATTCGACTTGAAGCAAAAAACCTACATAATCATATGTGACTCCATATCCTGGTCGTGTTATTTGAGCATTTTCAAGACCAGGCAACGATCGAACTAATTGCCACTGAAGCTCTTCTGGTAGCGTGCATGACAATCCATTCGGATAAATCAAATCACTATCGAAACCCTCTGGCTCTAACCAAATTTGATGTGTTTTATGGCCGAATCGCAAAATTTTCGATTCAATCGATGGACAATACCGTGGGCCATTCGCATCTTGTGTGACATGATAATTGACATGGAGATTTTTCGTGATAATTTCATTTATCGATGGTGGTGTGTATGTCAGATGGCACGGCAACTGAAAATAGCAGTGGAATTTGATCAATTTTCGTGTTTGTGGATAGAAATTATTGTGGAATCATTTTACACCACATTTCAGTTCCATCAAAAAGAAATTACCTGATCTTTGGCATCGATCCAAACCCGATCGTTCATAAAAGAAAATGGAACGGGCGGCGAATCTCCGAGTTGTTCACTCAATTTAGAGAAATCAATTGTGTCTTTCTTAATTCTGGGCGGTGTTCCCGTTTTCAGACGACCCATTCGAAATTTCAATGCTTCTAAGCTCTGTGCAAGACCAATGGCTGGTTCATCGCCAATTCTTCCTGCCGGCCGAATGTCGAGTCCAATATTGATTTGGCCTCGCAAAAATGTGCCTGTAGTAATGATTACAGCTCTCGCCGTAATTTTCGTGCCATCTTTTAGCAAAACTCCGTGGCATCTCTTCAATGCCTTGGAAGCGTCTCCATCTTTGACATCAGTCTCGTTTAACAGCAGATCTTCGACCGATGTGCAAAATATATCTAAATTCGGTGTGTTTAAAAGTTCATTCTGTACGGCTTGTTTGTATAATTTCCGGTCGATTTGTGCTCGTGGTCCCCAAACAGCTGGCCCTTTCCTTCGATTTAATACCTGAAAAAAATAAATGCAAAATAAATTTGCATGTCATTAAATGCAATGCAATTCATTTGTTTACCTTGTATTGAACGCCAGAAATATCACAGCAACGTGCACAAACTCCATCCAATGCATCGATTTCACGCATCAAATGACCCTTTCCAATGCCACCAAACGATGGATTACACGACATTTCGCCGATTGTATTGAATTTATGGGTCAATAGCAGGGTTTTTGCACCCATTCGAGCGGCGGCCGAACATGCTTCGGTCCCAGCGTGTCCGCCTCCAATCACAATTACATCATACTTTTCATGTGGGTTTATCGATGATAACTGAGTCCTATGGTATTGAAATGCGATAGAGACATTGAGAATAAAGTAGCAATTGAAAATGATTGTCAATATTTTAAATTCCAAAAACTACAACTATGCAATTGTTTTCATTCAGCATGCTCATTTATTTGTAAACACATTTTTTGATTGGTTCAATCATTTGGATTATGACATGCACTCACCCGTAATATTTTGCATTATTTTTTCTTATTAACGTAACTGCATTTTTTAACTGTGATAATCGTAACATTTTGTTTGTGGAACTCACTATATTTTAATTTGTCGCTTATAATTTAAAAACAAATTCAAACGATAACACCCGTTTGAACGAAAGATAACAAAAAGTTTGAGGTTATGAAATCATGTGAAATGCCATTGACAAATGTCACAAGTTGATACGTTTGAACAACCTGAACGGCGCTTCGTTCGAAAGGAATTATTTATTTATTTTATTTTCTTTCAAACGTTTTATTTTAAATGAAGTCAAAAATTATTATATTTCAAGGAAAAAAAAACTATGCACGAAAGATTATAACTTTGAATATTAGTTTTAATTTGAAAAACAGGAAATAAATTTTAAATTTGTCCCAAGAAAAAAAAACATTGAACGCAAAAATTACCTTTTCACCTTTTTCCCATAGCATCTCATCAATTTGGAATTAGATTTTCAGGCGAAAAAAAAACAAAATAAAAGACAATTTTGTTCTGAATGAATGGCGACTCGTGTACTTAAGCGCAAATCAGTCATATCAACAGTATAAATTTGACATAGTAAAAAAAAAAATAAATACGAAATAAATGTATAAAAAATATTTACAATCAAAATCGCTTAAATTCTCTCTTGTTCTTGTTCCCTATGCTCATGAATAATTTTAGAATAGAAGAAAAATAGTAAATTTTTCTCCGTTTCTTCATTGAATCTTTCGTATCGATTTGACGTTACATTAATTAGTACAAAGAAAAATGTTAAATATTGATATTCTAGTTCGTTTGAATTGATAAATCGCAATTCAATGTCAAATCACACAATTAATTGAAAGCACCGATCGATGATAGTGAGTAATGTGAATGTTTATTTCTTCTAACTATGTAGCCAGATCTGAACCTCTTGTTTCGTATGGTAAGAGCAAACATGCTATGCAGGCTGACACAGCGAAAATGCCGTACACAGTAACGGCGCTCGATAAAGATGTTTGCAGTAGAACCTGTGCAACGTACGGTGTGGCCATTGCACCTAATCTCGCCAATGCTGAACATCCGCCCACACCAACTGAACGCAATGCGGTTGGATACACCTCCGGTGTGTACACATAAGCTGCTTGAAACAATCCAGCAATCACGCCACGTGCCAAGAAGAGTATTATTGTCAATGCCGTTCGACTTCTACATAAGCAAAATGAAAAAAAAACAAAAACATAGAATTCAATTTTAAAATCATGTGATTTCACGATGACGCTAAAATTTACTCACTCTCCAGTTGTGGTGAGCATGGTAACACATCCGGCATATAATAGAAATTGGAATGCCATCGTTTTCTTGCGGCCGCATTTTTCAATGATAAATATAGTCGCAAAAATCCCTGGAAATTCGGCCAATGTTGTCCATAGTAAATCCATGTAGTCAGTTGTAGCTAATTGCCGACAACCACCAGGTTCTCCGTTCATATCGTTAATATTTGCAGCACCAAACAATTCTGTTGACATAAGCACCAAGCCATAATAGCAAAATGCACACGACATCCTAAAATAAGCCAGGTTTAATGACACAAATTCCACATGAATTTTCAATGTTTTTCTTTACCAAATAAACCACAATAGCACTGTGGTTCGACGCAGTGTTGGACTTAGAAGAGCTTTTACACTGCCACGCGGTCCAGTTGGACCATCGACAACTAATCGACCCAACAACATTGGTCGTCCATTATCTTTTGCGATTTGCTCCAGAGTTAACAACGCTTTGTCAAGTTTTCCACTTGATGTGTGATACCGTGCTGATTCGGGAAGCCACTAGAAAGATTTACAGCGTTTTTTTCTTACTATCGTTATACAATGGAATTGAGTTGTTTGAATAGATTCGAAATTCGAATTTCAAATATACGAATAGCTCTTTTCAATTCTTACGGGTGTAATGCAGGCGAATATGAACAAAGGTGCTGATGATAATCCCAGCAGCCATCTCCAGCCCCAAGTCGGTGCAACTGCCAATGCGAGAGCGACTTCAAAACACGCACCCAATGCCCAAAAGCACTAAAAATCAGATGCGAAATTTAGAATAACTTGAACACATGTAATAACAATAATCCACTTACATCTAAGAGAACTACGCATTTGGCCCGTTGTTTCGTTGGAAGAAATTCTGCATATAAAGTAACGCTGCGGAGTAGAAAAAACAGTTCCCAATTAGTGGAAAGAAGTGAATTGTAAAAATGGTAAAAGTGAAGGTATCATGCTTACGATTGCGGTACACATCCAATGGCAAAACCAACAAGACCTCTCAACAAAAGTAACCATGCAAAACTTGGCGCTAACGAACTTAAAGACCCGTATAAGAACAACAGTATTCCGCAAAGTGTGAGAGCCTGTGAAAGTAGATATGTATTTGAGTTTTCGGATTTGTTTTTGTTTTTCCTTCTGAAAATCACTCGTTGAATGCAAACGTACCGGTTTTCGACCGCATCGATCGCTGAGCTGCCCCCAAAACGTTGAGCTCATCATCATTCCGAGGAAGACAATAGTCGTGGTGAGCGCTTGTTGATATCGAGTAATGCCCCAGTCACATTGAAGGGCTGGCCCAAGAACACTCAATATGGTCATTTCCATTGAATCGGCCATCCAACATAAGCCAACGCATAATGACAATTTCACTTGAAACCAACCAAATCCGAGTGCATTCACTGCTTGCGTTACCGTGTATGTATCTATCATGTGGAAAAAACAAACATAAAAAAAACAATTGCCAAAATACACAAATCAAAACTGCGAGTAGTCACAAAAAGAACACACCATCAGGAACAACACTAACGGATGACATTTCCAAGTCTTGGCAAACGTTCAGATCGCCGGCTTGAGTATTGCGATGCGAATGTGGACTACTGGAATGGATTTGATTGTGAAGATGACTGTGATGAATGTGTTTCGATGGCATCGGTACATTGGCACCGGGCATTTCTTCATAGTCTTTCGTTACACCAGGTCGTCGTAACCCCATGTTGAATGCAGCTTTCTAAATGTGTGCCTCAAACTCTATACAATGGGCAAACAGACGAGAGAAATAAAATGAAACACAGAAAAAAAAATATAAAAAAAGAACTCATGTGTAAGACAATTCTACACTTTCATCTCTTCGTCAGCGGTTTGTAATGGTTGTCACAGTGTTTGCCGCTTAAAAGTGCTCGTTGAAATCTTTCTAGTTGAAGAAATGTTGAATATTTGTTTTTTTCTTTCGTAAGCAGCAATTGTTTACAATGTTGTTAATTGTATGTGTGTGTTTTTTTCTTTTTCTCTCTCCCTCTCCCTCTATGGAATTTAAGCAAGTTGATTTGATGATTTTACACATACTTGTGGACGCCACTCCAATCGATTGTCACGAAAATGTAGCAATTGAAGAGTAGAGCGAAAAAAAAAAATTGTGGCATTGGATGTGAATCAATTCGAGTGGTTCGAATCAAAAGCCATGATGCACCGATTTGAAACCGCACGCAGACTAAACAGAAATGCGCACTCATGCGAAGGTAGTGCGCGCGCATTGAGGAAACCGAAAAAGTGGTAAATTTCTGTACCTGACCTCATTACTAAATTGAATTTTGATGAATTAGCATTAAAAGCGATGGTTGATGTATCGAGCTCATTGGCCGTAAAACTTCATCGACGGAGAAAGGGAAGCTTATCTACGATATGTGCTAATGTGGTGATATCGCCCTCTTTATTATTTATTGCGAATAAGTTTGTAAGTGATAAACAGACAGGCAAATCTTTGACGCACTACGGAAATAAACTCTGATTTCAGGAATTCGTTCTTTGATGGGACAGTTCAATAGTGCAACTTCTTCCAATAATGGGACAGTTTTATGGGTACGTTGCTCTTCTCACTTCACCTTCTTCTGATCATTACATCATTCTACTGAAAATAATTGCGCACATCATGATGAGTAATGAAGAAGAAGCGAAAAATTAAATAGACAGACAGACACGTTATATTCTTTGAAGAACGACACCACTATGGAATTAAAAAAAAAACAGTAATTTAAGCCTCCGCATGTAAATCAAATGCACACATCAACAACAACGTAAGAAATCTTATACCAAATAGATTTTAATTTGCGAGAAAACACCAGAAACCGTTCTTCTTTTGGCACTATTAGACGAAGAGAGCAAAGCAGACAAAAACCAACAACAAAGATTCATAAGAAGTACTTCATCGTTTCGAACAGTGTCTGCGATTGAGATTAAATTGAGAACATGTTGATAGTGGTGATGTTGATGATGATGGTGGTTCTTCTAAATCAAATAGGAGCGTACTATAGCCAGCCACAAGAAGTGTGTGTGTGTGTGTGTGTTTGTAAAATATGCGCAATGTGAGTGTACGCGCAGGCGCGCCCGCGCCTGCTTGTTCGCTCACTCACTTACCTTATAAGATGCTATTAGCGGTACAAGCACACAATATATAAAATAAATATGGATGAATTTAGAAAGAAAGAAACACGAAAATAGCGCTCGAACAAGCGTATGGAATAGTAAAAAAAAAGAGTAATAACAATAATAACAAATAAAGAAGCAGAATAATAAAGAAGAGTAAGTAATAAATGCGCATACAGTCCGTGTGTTCATTTCATATATTTGAACCAAAAAGCAACAGCACACACTTTTTTCAGTATTTCATTAGTCATTCACATGGATAAATGCTTTCGGTACGTGCCTCCGATGTACGAAAATAAAACATCGAATTCAAAGATATTTGAATCGACAAAAATATGAAAGTCAAGTGGCTTATATATTCGCTCAGCGTGTCTTTCCATGTGAGACTATGCAAATAAACATTCGGTGCAAATGTATTTATATTTTATGCACATGAATTTGTTTTTTATTTTTCCCGCTCTCTCTCCATCTCTGTCTCTGTCTCTGTCTCTGTCGCTCTCTTTTTCGTCAAAATCGCGTCTTATAAGACATTGTCGAAGACCTTTTTTGCCTTCCCATTCCATTTATTCTGTCATTGTTTTGTTTTCATGTTCTGTGTTCTGTATTCCGCGTTCCTTTTTTTTTGCTCTCTCGCAACCCAAACAAATACAACACACAATCTGAAGAATTAAATTACGACATAATTTTGTGAAATAACTGAATCAGCAAATGCCATAATAATGTCTTATTACTTGGCGATGGTTGCCAACAATTGCGACAATTTCAAATAACAATGCATATTTTGTTTATATTTAGAATTTCCCACTGATTCCACGACACAAATAACAACAAAAACAATCGAATAAATAAAACAACCACGTTCACTTTGATGCCAAATGCCGCATCTAATTTGTAACCAACATTCCGTAATATGTATTCTTTTTGTGAATCATACACAACTAAGTAACGATCACCGATCACCGATCATTCTAAATTGAAGCAAATCTTCACATCGAATAACCGATAATAATACATCGAACGTAAATTTTTCTTTTTTTTTCTCTTTAAATTTATCGGAATCGATCCAGATACTTGAATCGTGACCAACAATTAGCACAGTTAATTGACGTTAAATCCTCTTTTCGTTCAAGATAAAATTGTTTGTGTGTGTGTGTGTTTTTCTTCTTCTCTCACTTATATCGAATGAAAAATGCGTTACAAAACTCACTGAATCGAATTGATCTCAGCTGATGATGTGCACTATGATTGTGGATTTGCAAACGAAATCCAAATTGTCTTCGATCGATGACCCAATTCAGATGGGTTCCTGTCGTTTCATGCTTAGTTATTTCGATTGAAATAATATTTCTTCTTTATTACATTTAAAGTTTTTAATATATAGTATAGTTGTGTCAAACCACTGTGTATGTGATTTGATTTGGTTATTGTTCTTTAAGCGAAAAACAGAAATACAACGACGAAAAAAAACTTCGAACAAATGCACGCCGATCGAGAAATATTGTACGTGTTATTAATGTATCGTCATTCTATTAACTGACTTCAAACTTGATTTGGTGTAATTGTTTAACAGAGTCATTTTCTTCATAGTGTATATACGGTGCTATCGGTGTGTTGGTCTTGAAAATGTCGGTGCCAGCAAAAAAAATTTTTCTTCGTATAGTTTTCTTCTCTCTACGTCTTCTCCAAGCCCATTTCATGCGGGAATATCGGTGAATACATGTGTAAACACTTTTTATTCCGTGGTATGTCTCAGCTGAAAGTAATTCGTGTGTATTAGTGTTTCATGTGACTACGTACTCGGTGTGTATAGGTGAGTGAGTAGAAGAGAGACAAATGAGTAGAGAAAAAAACTTGTGAATTTCTCTTTGTTAAACTTTCTTAACATTTTGGTGTTAGCATGTATGAGATTGATTCAGTGATTCAATGTTTGCTGTGTATATTTTTCGATGCACAATGTTTACCTTGCGTTTCAGTGTTTGCTCAGTTTGCCCCTCCCTGTTGATCATTCACTTTGAAACAATTAAGCACATTGTTTCTGAGATAAAAAAAAAATTAATGTTTGGCACATTGTTTATTCATTTTCGAAGCAGTTGTAAGAATAATTTTGATAACAGCGGTAATTCTGCACAGTAGCTAGATTGTGTTTTCGATTCTCGTGAAATCGATTGATATGATTTTGAGTGGAAAAAAGACCAGTGACACAAAAATTCAATTTAATATCTCTGTCATTTATTTTCGATTTTTCATTTCATTTCCTTACCATTAAAAATTTTCTTACACATATATAGAAAAATAAATTATGCTTTCTTATTACAGAACTAAAGTTTTGTTGTTTTGTTCCAAAAAAAAAATAAAGAAAATAAAAATATACATATGGTTTGTAAAGCGATTTAGGCGCATTATGCGCGCAATGGGCATGTACACATTGAGTCGCAATATTTTAAAATCCCTTGAGAATGTGGAATGCGGTTATGAATTTTCGAAACATTTGGTGCCCCCTATATCAGATCATTTGTTTTTCTTCTTTTTACACATCTTCCAAATTTTTTGCACTTTTTACAATTGTATCTGAAGATCACTTTATCAAAAAGTTGTTTTTCCTCAATTTTACCACAGTTCTTTTCTTCTTCTTCTCTTCCATATATCGTTGATTTAGTCAAAATGTTTGAGCTAAATGATCCCCATCAAATATTTTCGAAACAATGAAAATATGTTGCTGTTTGTTGCTTAAATTATTTTAACAACAACGAAAAAAAAAACAGAATAATTATCAATTTCATTAATAATCAAGTTGATCAAAGCATTTTTTTCGCTTCGATCGTCAATTCGGTCGTTTTTGGTGATGATGTCAACATTTTTTGTTTTGCTGATGTTTGTCTCAAGATTTTTGCCGACAGGTTTGTGAATGGAATTTCGAACATGAGTGAAAATACAATCGCCGACAGGTAGACGATAACTTTGATTCCAGTTGTCATTACCGTCTGAAAATAACAACAAACACAACAAAAATAAATTAATTATTTATGAAAAAAACATTTGAAGAAAAAATATGGGCTAAAGTTCAAAATTTGACATTATCGCGTGTGTTTCGTCTACTCACCATTGAAACTGGATCGACGTGTGTGCTGTGATCTTGCCATCCATATAATACACTGATGACGGCTGGATTAAGCAAATAAATTCCATACGATAATTTATTGATATGCACGAAAACTGGAAAGTTTAGAATTTTGGCAAAAAGACCACCATATCCGGTGTGGCTAGCTAATATCATCCATGACACCGACACCGGATACAATACTCGAATGAATGTAATCAAAAGTGCGGCCGTAACATAGGATACATTGCGATTTAGGGTTGAAACATGGGCCAGAATAGCGATGGTTATCGTCACAGTCCATACCATTTTTATGGTTTTCTTGAGTGGAGAAAAAAAACGTACAATGGTACGAATTAGTTTTGATGCTTTTCGTTAAAAATAATTGAATTTCTGTATTGTTTCAGAGACACCTACCTCACCCAAAGGCATTTCACCCTTTAGTGTGTACATGACATAGCCAGCTGCAACTCCAATCAGATACGGAAGGACTCGTGTCCATGGTGCAATGTACATATCGGTGCCCAAGGAATGCATGACATCATAGGCGGGCGTGAATTTTGTGAAAATGGCAATCGAAAAGATCAAGCCAAAGAATATTCCGAATAATGAGCAGAAAATTGCCTTTGCTGCATTTGGATATCTGCAGGGAAATGAGTGTGGATTTAATTTAGTTATTGATCAAACGAAGTGAATTTCAAAACATTTTGAAAAAAAATACTTACTTTGCATAGATGAATAACAACACAGTTGACAAGATGAAGAATTGCATTTCGCAGGCCAACGACCATGACCAATTTACACACAATTCATCTTGGCTAAAGAGATTTTGGATATACAGAACATTTCTCCACCAATATTTGCTGCACATCATATCGTTGCGCTCATGGATCCAGAACGGAGATGTTTCTACCATTCGTGAGGTCATGAACTCCATACAACCAACAACAACCAAATACATCGGCGTCAATCTGAAATCAATTCATCGATCAATATCAATTAGATATATGGATTAAATAAAAATGAGAAATAAATCAAGCCTACCTGATATAACGGTTTAATAACTGTTTGCCAAACAATTTCACATTTTGCATTAGTGAATTGTTTCTAATTTCATCCTGTTTTGATTGATTGCGCAGAAAATTGTATGTAAGCAAAAGGCCACTGAAAAACGCAAATTGTGACATTAGAGTTTGATTGAAATATGCACAGAAAAAATAGATCAAAAGAAAAGCTGCAATAACTCACCTAATTGTGAAGAAAACGTCAACAATAATTGGTGTTGCGCTAACCCATTGCCACAAGGTCTGTTCACCATACGAAAATGTCATTGTCACATTGTGCACTGTGAAATGATTGAACCAATACACATGGAACATCAGAATCAAAAAACATCCAATCGATCTGAAATCGATAGGGTTAACCATTAAAAAAAATTACATTAAAATCGATGCTTTTGAAATTAATTTGGAATCAAAATGCGATACATACTTTAGACCATCAACGATGGGCACTGCATTGGCCGGCTTATCAACACTGGTAAGAATTTGCATATTTTTTCGCAGCGAAAAACATTCAACAATTTCATCGAGGAACATTTTCTTTGGTACACTGGTTTTTGGACAGTGCATCACAACATCTGGTGGTGATGACACAATTCCATTGATTTCCGTTCTCGTTGCAATGGGGTGTTCAATTTTCACTACTTCATCATTTTCACTACCGTCTCTTATGTATGCAATGACCATCATAAGCAATGTGAAAATCACACAGCACACAACTATTCTGAAGCTCCATCTATCCATCAAATTGGTTTTGGCTTTAAGATCCGTGACTTCCAACACATTTGGCTGATAGTCGTGCATAATTTGTGCGTCCAATGTTGATGAATCAAAGAATTCTTGCGTTAAATTGGCAATTTGATCGTTGGAACATGATTGCGGCAGACAAAGTCCAACATGAAGTACTTTCTATAATTTTGTCAAGAGAAAAGAATTGCGTCAGACAAATACAATCTCCATATCGCTTGCATTTAATCAAGAAGAAGAGGAAAAAGAAGAAGATAAGTTGGTTTTAAATGTCATACATTTTTCTCGAGTGTGAATTCAACTTGCATCTGCCAGGGCGAGCGATGCTCTGCGTAAACCATTCGATAGCCGATGTCGAATGGAGCAGTGGCCGACCACAAATCAGTATGCATAAATCGTTCAAAGCGATTTGATAGGGTCAATGGTGGTGGTTTTTGTACAGCTCCACAACCTTGCACTGATCCCATCCAAAAGTTGTTACCAAGCACGAATCCGGGAAGTGGCATTGCCGACGAATCCAAAGCTATTTGGTTTTTTTTTAAAATCAAACAGACAAATCGGAATGAATATTTTGGAGAAAAGTTGTTGTTTTAAATGAAATGAAAAGTGGATTTTATTCAAATGAACTTTCACAATGAACGTTCCCAAGGTTGTTTTAGGGAAAATCACTCACCTTTTATCGCCCATATCTCTTTCCGATGAATACCATCATAGATTTGATTCAATTCTCGGTAGCATATGTCGTTCGCTTGTGATCGTTGTGCCGCTGTTTTAACAACACCATACAAAATGGATGTTGATTTAAGACGGTCGTATTCTTTATACGACGGTGCAAACTCTTTTGATTTATTTGTCGTTGTTGCTGTTGTTGCCGTGGTCTCATTCGTTGGACTGTAGCAAAACCGATCATTACACACATTTGTTTCAGACACGATCGTTGCCGTTGTCATAATTGTCGATATTTTGCGAATTTTCGATTGTGTTTCATTCACCTCAATATCACTAGCTAAAACACTAAACGACTTCGCCGCATATTGGCTAATTGGTACCGTTATGGTTAAAAAATGTAATAAAACTACAGACACTTTAATATTCATGTTTGTATCTTTTCTTCGCTTTGCGTGCAACCAATGTAGAAAAAAACAACAAATTTATGTCAGGTTTCTGTAATTAAAAGAGAAGAGAGAGAAAAAATATGGTGGAAAATTAGAAACAACTCGAATATTTCGTTATTTTTTTTTTTTTTTTTCAAATCTAACATTATTCTGAATAAAGCTGTAAATATCTAATGGTATTCGAACGATCACAAAAATCAAGGTTTCAAATTCCAAATTAAACGGCATTTGCCATCTAAAGAAAATTACGTAAAATGCAAATGAAAACGATTTAAGAATTAGTATTGAGCGAGAGAAGAGCGAGAGAAGAGCGAGAGCTCTATGGGGAGAGGGAGACAGAAAAAAGGTTAAAGAAAACTCCATAAAAAGAAGTTGTTGCGGTGAATAAAGCTGATATAGCTAAAAACAACGGTCGATTAGTCCAAATTTGGGTTTATTGTACCAACTGTATCTAGTGTGATACGGTCAGTTCGCACCTTGAACTGGCTTCTGACTGATACATTCAATCAAACTGTGATTTGGTATTTTAAACGTTAGACCAAACCATAATATTATGGCCAGTGTCGATTATCACACGGATTGAGGAGACACAGTGAATGAATGAGAGAGAAAGAGAGATAGAAACCGACTAAACTGCATAATATGTTGCGTTTAATGACAAATAAAGCAATACCCTTAATTATATTCAAATAATATGTGCATGCAAATCGCGCTAATCATTTGACGACTAATCGCGAATTGCTTCTTATAAATAGCAACCAAATGTGAAGACAATCCAACAAATGATTGCCGAAAGTAATTTCACTTGACAAATCGACGGAAAATTCGAAGACGACGAAGTGGAAGAAGTTGAACGAAAAAAAAAAGATTAAATGCCAGTCATCATGTGCTCATAAATAATGCACACTCACTTGACTTGGCCATAATTTTGTGCAATCAATACCTGCTGCATACTATGATGATAACGTAAGCCGTTTCTGGTCTTGTTCCGTCTCTGGTGTGAGTGCGTTGTGTGCACTCGGAACGACGACAAACAAACAGAAACAGAAGAAAGGCCTCGACAAACCGAAGCGAAGAGAAGTGAAGAAAAAATGCCAAGCCGAAAAAGAAATCGAACCTATAAAATATATCACATTTTATTCTTTGCGAAACATACACACACGATTCAGATCTGTGTGTTGTAAACGGAGAGCAGCCAATCCGGTGCCGATATTCTAGTCAGTGAATAATAGAAATGGAATGGTCATAACAAAAAAGAAGATAAAGAGATAGTGTTTGAGACACACACAACACATCCAAGACCATCTTCTTTGTGCCGACCGTTTTCGGATGTGTGTAATATGGATGGCGTCTCGTGTGTGACCCAACACACATCATATTTCATCGATTCGGAATGAGTCGCATGGGCTTTGAAAGTGAAAGTATTTCATAATCGGCAATCATCGTATCACAATTTCCAAAATATCTTTGCATATTTTGTCTGGTTACTTAGGTTATATTATTTTTTGTGTTGTTGTTGCGGCTGTTATTGTGCTCGTCGTCTTTCCCGTATAAATTTATGTGTGGTTTTTCTGTGTCATTGTGCAATGCATTTGCATATGGCTTTTTTTCTGTTGTGATCTAAATTTTGGTATTGGAACATAAGAGATCGCGCGTGTGTGCGCACGCGTTTGCGATCTTTTTAAATTAAGAGCCGATTAAAATGAGATATGAGGTTAAAAAAAAATATACACACACACACACCGGTCAACAAATTACATATTGTTTTATTGGCCTAATGTAAGTAGGTAAAAGTATACAAAGAATTTGGCCGAATGTCAATGCGTAAAAGTAGTTACATTAATCCCGGCCCGAGCTTTTTTTCCCCTCTATCTCTCTTCTGTTTCTCTATATGATTTAATGCAACATTATGTGGGCATTTATAATGATATTATGCAATCGAAAATAGGACTTGCTTTGTGTAACCACATCAGATTAATGCATCATGATTTATGGGCACGCGTTGATAATGAAATATATCGCTCGAATTAACCGGATGTTTTTTCGCATAATTCGAGTGTAATTAGCTCGATCAATTGCGATTTTCTTTTAAATGTTAACCACTTTTTTCTCTCTCTCCACAATTCAGATCATTTCACAGAAAATTCGTAGTACGATGAAGTATGCGGAATTAACAAGAATGAAATTGCGTAAAATATTGTCTTCTTTCGAATGAAATCGATTGTAATTGCGCACACAAGGGGTGCAAGGACAAAATATGATGGGCCATGACGATGGCGAAAACCTTTGCCTTTTTTTCTGCTCGATCGTCTACATGTCTTTAACAGTTAACATGTTCTTGTTTATTCCATTTTTTTGCTTGTTTTTCTTTCTGTGGTTCTTCATTTTTCTCTTATATGCACAACGCACACCCATCGCATTGTATTCGTGTGCAATAAGTGCTGTTAAAAACAACAATGACAATTATTTACGAACCGATTTTATCGCTTTTATTAATTAGCACAATCGAAAATGAGTACGCACTGATTGAAAAGTGCGTATTCTGCATCAAGTAAAATTAAAGTGACTATAAGGGCTTTTCTGATCGCCGAATGTTGAATGGCCCATTGAAATGCCCTTAGCGATTTTAACAGCATCCAATTGATCGTGAAAAACAACAAATACACTCGAGGAACGATGAAGCCAATGAATTCAAGATGATAACCACGTCGATTCACAAGTCAATGTTCGATATATTAAATATTCATTAGCATAAATTTAGAAGACATCTGACTTTCGTCATATTTTTACTCGATTCTAAGAATGTTCTATCGATTTTCTGTTTAGAAATACCAACGGATGAGTCTTGAGCAAACAAATGATATGAATCATTTGAATCAGAATATTCACGACCTTTTGCTCAATTTGTCGGTCGATTTTTTCCATCAATTTGTCGGTAAATTAATCATAATATCCCCGCTAAAATGTTTGTTGACGAATATTTAAAAGCTTTTTGTTAATTTTAACGTGTCGTTAACAACAATTTAATGCTCTGCTAAATAAGTTAATTAAATTACATTTTATTGATGTAAATGGAATGGAATGTAGAAGGATTCATCTATGCGTTTGTTTTCGTGTTTGGTTTAGAAAAAAACTCTACGTCGTAGGGCGTACGATGAATGTTCAAACGTATATTTAGATTTGGCTTTGTGGTAAATAGTTCCATCGTCATCAGTCACTCTAATAAAATTATCGGCCTGTTGTTTATATCGATATGCAAATGACATTGAACTATGGAAATTCAACGGAAAATACGAATCGAATAACACGATTTGTGTTCCCGTTAAACTTCATTGTCATCTGCATTTGGTCGGTGAACACGTCATCGTCCTTGTCCACATGTTTCACATTAGATGTGTCAATCTGTCATAGAATCAAAATGCTTGCGGCCAAAAATATTATTATGCAAATTGATTTTTGATCCAAGGATGTTCTAAATTGTTATGTATCAATCGCTTGGTTGGTTTTTCGATTGTTCGAGACGCTGTTGACGTAACGAATCTTTTCGAAGAAAGTTATTTCGATGCGGAATTGTTTTATGGGCATCTGATAAACGGTGGGCGCTTTTAAAAGGTTGATGCCCCTACACACAATTGTTACATACCAGGGTCAAATGGAGCAGTAGCATCTCATATCGTGGTAGTTGATACTGGTTTTATTTCTCTTGAGAGAGAGAGAGAGAGAGAGAGAGAGAGAGATATGCCATTAAAATCCGTAATGTAAACTAGTCTCAAAAGCATAGTCGCGCTTACTGATCGCCTCTTTTATGAACTGAAACAATGAACATTTCAAACTGTGGAATTTCAACTTATCGAAGCGAAGAAATTCTTGATCACTTGAACATTTCAAGCAGGCAAAACGTCAACTGTTTGCAAGCACGATTTGTTTGATTTGTTTCATTATTATTCACAATAAGTATTGCATGTTTGCTTTCACATCTTTTCGGCTTTTTTTTATTCAACTTTAAACAGACGCACAAAAAACGTCATAATTCTAAAGAAGACATTACTTCATTTTTCTTTGTGCTATAATAACCCGGTGATGGCATATCTTTTCTAAATCATGTCTATATGACTTGGACAATTTGAACGCGTGTGAATCGTGTGTGTGTGTGTGTGTGCACGTGTGAAAATTGCAACTTTTCCTGGTGAAATAAAAACTCTTTCATCATTCACGTTAGAAAGAGAACAACATAAAGGAATTCATCTCTTCGTTGCTCCGAGTCATATGCGAGCAATTAATTTGTTTATTCTTTTCGGCGATTAAGCATCAGCCGGGAACCGCAAATCATGCTTATAATTTTCATGTGCAACGGTTCTAAGGCGTAAACGTGCTCAGTTTCAATTAGCAATTTAGGGGGAGTAAAATATCAACAGTAATTGTTATGTGATGAAGGTAAAATGTATTGTGTATGCGCCAGAGATAAGTAAACAAAGGAATTTATGGTACAAAGACGTTTGACATTCGTCATTCTTATTTTATTTATTTCTGATGCCTGTGGATATTCATTCAGTGGAGTTGAAATAATTTTTGAACGGGCCAAATGATATAGCCTCTAAAGATTGGCGAGATCATAATTTTAAATCAATGAAATATATCTATAAACAGACGCCACACCAATCACTGTCAGTTGATCTTAAGATTAATTGCTTGCAAATCGGAATTTTTATACAATAACAAAGGTTTAAATGACTAATCAAATTGTTGCGACCAGATGGTGGGAATAAAGTCGCGAATTTGAATTCGCATTTGTCTCTTTTCCGCGTGTGACTCAATGCTTAACCTTTTTTTTTATTGGTGGTGTTCGAAATCATTTCAATCATTTCGGTTTCTTTCCTTCTCTTTTCATTGGGTAAATTTATCAAACAAACCTGTCCTTTGACGCTTATATAACTTTTTTTTTTTTTAATAAAAACAACTTTAACGTACATTGCGGAGACCGAATGAAGACAGAAAAAGAAAAAAAAAACAATTCGAACAATTATTGAAAAAGAAAAAGAAGCATAACACGGTTAACCGTTGATCGATAAAAAAAAACACAACAGACTGCCGAATTTCGCTTATGTAATTTTGTGTTTTTGTTGTATTTATGCGATACTCTTGTAAGCTCTCCGTGGATTTTGTACTCCCCATGTGTATGGGGCATTGTGATCGCATCTGCATAACTCTGACAAACCGTTACATTACGCAGATGGAAGAAATTTATAAGAAAAGTGAAATAATATCGTTAGCAGACACTTTCATTTTTATTTATTTCTTCTCACAATATTTGCTTTATAACTCTTTCTTTGTGCGTGCGCCCGCTTGCTCTCGACAGATTCGTTTGTCGAATTTTTTTTTTAAAGTTCAATTTTGAGCGTTTTTTTTTCTTCTATTTAACACGTACAAACCGACACATCGATTATCACATTATTATTGTTGTATTTATGGCGTTTATTTTTCGGTATGCATTTGTCATCGACGATTGCAGTTAGATATGCATCATCGAATAGCTTAAAACCACATTGGCCACATTACGCCACGAGAACGAAACGATTTGAACAGAAAATAAATGAAGAAGATGGGAAAAAAAAGAGTTAAGGATGACAAATCGTCGTCACATCGATCATTTATATACTATTGCATCAAATGTTTCAAACTACACGGTATATGTTAACTGATGGATTTCGAATTCACCAACGTCTTTTTCTATAGTCTAAATATTTGCATTTTATTATACAATTTGATTTTAATTAACCCAATTTTTTTTGCATAGCATCCGTTACACAAATTTTGAAACGAGAAAAAAAACCACACCGATAATAATGAAATCTAAACATTGGATTGAATCACTGGCACTTTTTCTTTAAAAAAAAAAACAAAAATAACCGTCAAAAAACTCAAACTAAATAGAAAATGATTCGGTAATATTGGACAAAATCAAATCAATTTAATTAATTTTAAAAACACTTGCTAAGATCATGAAGAATATGAGTGGTGAAGAAAAAATAAATTTACTTGTATTATTTCAGGGTTGTTAGTGGTGTCTTTCCATGCATCTCAACAGTTTCAAAACTAAATGTGAACTGATCATTTATAACGGATCGGCTTATAGTGTCTTGATATCGCTAATTCGAGCTCTATGAGCATGCTCGATTCATGAAAAACACAAGCGACACACTCTCACACACATACCCAAAAATCATTTAATGACGCGTTCACGGATTCAAGCACGAAAATAAGGTTCGCCACTTTAAATCATCACATGTGAAATGAGTTGTGTGTACTACGCACGTAAAGACCCAACACCACACTCACACTCCGAGCGTGAGACACAGATAAGCACACACACATACACACACACCATCGTATATCGTTGGTGCAAACCCATTCATACATTGCCTTCCATCGTACATAATATCACACCATCACGACAACATACCTGCCTGCAATCAGTTCGTACTTTGGGGAATGACTTTTTCTTCCAAAGAAGAGAAGAAGAAGAAGAAGAAGAAGAAGAAGAAAAAAACCATATCGAAAAAAAAAAATCACCGAGAGAAGGAAAACAGAAAACGAATTTTGAAATCGGCTGTATATTTTTCATATAGTATATTTCTTCTCAAACTTTTGTGTATGTCTCTCAGTCTGTCAGTTTGATGAGCATTATGCAGGCTACAAAGTACAAAGTGCGACATCAAACTGGAAAACCATCAAATTAATACGAAAAAAAAATTCCGACTCGGATACACATATTTCACATCAGTTGTCGTAAACAATTGAACGAAAGTGTCACTGACAGACAACCAATTCGACAAATAAATGACTGAATTTGACTAAATTTAACATCATTGAAGAAGAAAGAAAAAAACTACACATTGGAATTTCAAATTCAGCATGAAAAAGCGTGTGCCAAACAAATGATGCGTTCTTCCGATGAGCAACAAAAAATGTTGTTGTCGTTTATATTTATAAATTTTTGTTTTGTGATCGATTCGTTTTGATATAAAAAATCTATATTTAAATTTGGCATTTATAACAGGTTCTTACAGTCATTTTCGGTAGAATAATAGAGTGTAAGACAAAAAAAAAACGATCATCATAAAACAAAATGACGGTGCGCCGTTTCCCCATTCCTCGTAAATTTTCCATCAAAGTTTAAAGTCATGACGTGTGTTATTGCGACTCGAAGAATATTGGAACCAAACTAGCCACGCTTCGATAGAAACCGGGATTACCACAATAGAATTGAAAAAAAGGGCAAGCACGCTCGCAAATATCACATCAGCAATAAATGGATTTTGGTCACATAAACAACAGCCAAATAATTATATGAGTATTTCCGTTCTTGGGCGCGCGCACACGTAACCGGTCTTCCCTGGATACAAAACCACTCAACTTGCAACGCAAACACGAGGGCACAAAAAAAAAATTAATTTTCGAAGAAAAACAAAAAGAACACTTCATTTGATTAGGCAATTAAAAACAAAATAATTTATTTACAAATTGGCACTAAATTAAGCTCGAACACAATAATACTAATGATCCAGCGATACAATAATTACAATATAACGAATCTTACTCAATATGATTTAAAGTACACATGGGCTAAAGTTATCATCTATCCAAGAATAAATTTATGAAATAACAACCAAATTCATTATTCATTCATTCCCAAGATCACTTTCCTTGCAAGAGCTTTCCCAATCGGATGAAGGGATTCTCGAATAGCAGCATGAATAGGTACGATAATGTGAAAACAATTGCCTGAAAGCCCAAACTATTCACGAGCTGCGCACGGAACGTCATGAAAAAAAAAATGGAGAAGAAATGTAAATTATGGCCTTTACAAATGTATGTTTTGATTTTTTTTTCGAATGGAAAACGATTTGCGGTTATCAAAATAAACTATGATGCACGTGCTACAATACTCACTAGTGACAAAAAGTCCAAATGAATCGGTGCTTCGCATGACATTACGACGAACATTATGCACAATGGATTGATCAGATAGGCGGTGTATGTCATACGACTGTATGGTAGTAAACATTTTGCACTGAGAATACGATTTATGATTCCGCCCCGTCCAGTTGCGCATGCGATAATGAACCATGCAATGCCAAGGGACCATGCAGTTTTTCCCAGGCCGGTGTACAAAACGGCTCCCAACGGACTGAGCTCTTTCTTTGTTGGCCCGAAAATCATTGAAATCAACAGTAAGGGTCCAACGACCCATCCCAAAACCACGAATTTCTGTTGAAAAAAACAAACAAACAAACAAACACATACATATGCACGAGAGAAAAAGAGACAGAAAAAAACAAAACGAAAAATGAAACGATTAACATCAATGAATAAGCATTTTCACGTTGCCAAAAATTTTATAATTTTTTTTCTTCACATATGGCACGTATTATCGCTTTTGTTGCCGACGCATTGTGCGTTAATACACAACAACAACTAGCAACCGCATAACAGCAAAGAAAAAAAAACAAAATGCAATACGAAGGAAACCGCCTTGCGTTTTCTTCGTCTTCTTTTCGGAAAAACGTTCACAGTGAGCGCGACGAGAGATGATTATATCATAGCAGACAGTATGGTATTGCGTCACCTGCGTCTCTGCGAATTACTTTTTGTTTAGTTTCTGAAAGCGAAAACCGAAAAGTGCAATGAACATAATTCACCTTTTTAATGTTTAATTTCCGATCTTTTGCACTCAAAAACCATCCAGCATAAACACCAATGAAATAGGCTCCGATTCGCGTGTATGTCGGTGTATACAAATAGTCGACCAAGTGGTATTGTACATCCAATCTGTAAGCAAAAATTTCAAAAACACGTATGCAGGAAATTTTTTGTTTTGAGTCGAATGACAGAAAAAGTTCGCACTTCTTTAAATTCGTTTGTGTGTTTTCTCTTTCACTCCCTATTTTCATTTCATTCCATTTCACGTTTAACGAATTTCTCATTTTCACTCAAGTTCGAATGGTGGTCAACTTTAAAGTTCATGGATATTATGCGTGTATATGTAGTTCATGAGTGTATGTGTTGCACACACACACACTATCACGACCACATATATTTCGGCCAATACCTCGAACGTATATTTAAAATAGCCCGAATATATGCAATGTCGAACAATGTGTGAACGTTGCAAACCATTCGAATATGAGTTCCATGCAATTCGGATTCAATACTCACGTCAACGAATATTTCAGTGCGTATCCCAAATAACCCGTGTAAATGCTGGCCGAAACAAATAGCAGGACAAACATTGAAATTGCAACCTTGGGTTTTCTGCAATGAATTTTTTTTTTATATCGATTAGAGGAAGTTCAAACCACAGACAAAACCAAAAATGACAGAGTCATCCCAATGATTAAATTCTTATTTCAACTTACTTCGTATAAATGACCAGCAAAAGTGACGTCAGACAGAAGCATTGAAAATCGGCGGCCAAAAACCAACTCCATGTCATGCACATATCATCCAATGGATACATATTTTGAATGTAGAAAAGGTTACGCCACCAATATTTTGGGCAATTGATATCATTGTGCTCAATCATCCAGTACTGTGATGTGTCGCGCAAATAAATCGATACAAAACCGGTTAATGCAATCACAACCAAGTACGGCGGTGTCAGTCTTTTGATATGACAGAAGCGCAGTCAGACGGAAATAAGTGATTAAAATGAAAAGGAGATGAAAAATATTATGTTAATTATTGTTTGTACAAGCGATTGTCTCAAGATTATTATTTATTTACCGAAGGTATCGATTAACCACAGAGCTAACAAACTTGAGAATCGCACTCTCCTTCTTCTTCTTCTTTTCGGTTTGGAAGAATAAGTACGCCAACACCAGGCCACTGATTACAAAGTACGTGTCCACGCAAATGGCAACGGAAAATAGCGGCTGCACATACCATTCCTCTGCATAAGTCAATACCATTTGAAGGTTTTCCACTGAACTTGGCCCATAGAAGAACAAATGACCAGCTATTATCCAAACCATTCCCAAAGCCCTGCAAATAATCCAAAACAATTCATTTATTCCCAATGTGTCATACACTTCTTTTGGCAACGGCTTTGATTGTAACGAATAATTCTACGAAACGTAAAATAGATGGATTTTTTGTGACGTATTTTTTCTCAAGTTGAGAATCTTAACCGCCAAATCTTAGTCAGATTCTTTTCAAACGGAACCAGTTTTTAAGAACATAACAACATTTAATGACGAACATTCGACGTAATGACCGATCACAACTTGCAAATTTATTTATAGATTTTCGAATACGAAGTTAGATGGGTGCAAAATCACAATATATCATTATAATAATATGTGGAATTTGAAGATATACGTCACAGGAAATAAATGTTATCGTCAGCTATAAAGACTATCTGATAAGTCAGCAATTCTATGGAATGGTAAAAATAGATCGGAATAAAGTATAATGACAGATCATCAAAAAAGAATGTTGAATCAAACGGAGGAAATCACTGAGTCATAAAAGAGCGACTAAATAAAATTTTTGTATTTGTTTACAAAGAAGAACAATTATAGCTATCCAGGCTTATCACAATTGTTTTTAAATAAATTGCATTGTTTATTTTGGATAAAATGATCTGTTGCTTACCTCATTCCATGGATCACTTCGATCGAATCCGTGCCCAAGGACTCGGTTGTAATAATTTCCGAGTTTTTAACGATGCAAAAACATGAGAAAAATCGATCAATGAACGAATTGGACATTTTCGTCTTATTCACTTGTTGATTGAACATCGATGCGTTGTCAACATTCAAAACGGCGTTGATATTGGCGCATTTGATTTGATTATTGTTGCCATTTTTATTTGGTAGATCAGCTACAGCTTTGCTTAACTTCATTTCCTTCACTGAGAAATTCATGTAAATTGATCCAATCGTAACGAAGACCACATTGAGCATAAAAATACATCTGTAGCAAGTAGGCAAAAAATAGAAGAGAATAAAAAAGATTTAGTATTCGTTGTGTGTCCGCATAAAATAACGTATTTACTATGATAAAAATCGTACAGGAAAATGTTCACCATGGTTGTACCAAAAAAGTTGTCCCGTAGTTTCAAGGTTTTGCTTTCAACGATCGAAAAGCTTTCATTGAGAAAGTATTTTTCGCCGAATATTCTGCTATTCAACATGGTATTCACTAGCCGATCGACGTCATCGTTAGTACACGATTGTGGTAAACAAATACCCACGTGCAACATGGTCTGAAAGGAAATACAGTCAATTATGTTGTTCATGTCTATTCAAAGTTAAAATTCAAAATAGTTGAAATACCTTTTCAAATGTGCTAATGTCAATTTGCCAGGAGGAACGATGTTTGGCCCATACAAGTTTGTATTCCACTGGAAATGGTGACTCGATGTACGTGAGATTTTTGAAGTGGTTCTTATGTAATTCATGTGACAGCACTACCGGTGAACGGCTATTTATAAATTGGCAGGCTTTCCTCGAGCCGAGCCAATAGTTATTTCCCCATACAAAACCGGGTGCAACGTGACCAGAAGCATCCAACACTTACAGATCAGAACAGGAAACAGCAAATCAAGAACGAAAAAGAAAATAATTACACATAAGTTTAAACGAAAATAAGAAGTAAAAAAAAAACGAAACTATCCGTACTTGAATCGAATGAATATGGGCACATGGATGATATATTTTGTCCACTAGTTTTTCTCTTTTTTTTGCTCTTGTTGATCGTTCATGTTTTCAATGGTAAGGTTCAACTCTATTTTGCGGTTAATATCATTGTTCTGGTTGTACAGAGACATGGTGCAGTTGCAAACAGAACAAGCACATCTTTAATCGTACGCGCCTACTCGCATTTGGTGCCAGCTATATTATATGTGTGTACGGCGTGTCAGATTTTGTAACATGCATGGCGAGCGCAAGTGAGCGAGCGGCGTGATAACATTGAATCAGCAGTTGTTATTGAAAATGCGACTGTTGCTCAATTTATGCATGATTTACAGAAACCAGCGCGATCAAAAAATAAACAGACACCACATCGATTTAAATGTATGAAGAAAGATGAAGCCGGTTAAGGTCTTTAATTAAAACACGCATACACATTGTGTGCATTTCATCTCAAATGGGAAAGAAGAAGAAGAAACAACAAAAACCGAAACCGAAACTGAAAAAAAAAACGATACACCGAACTTATCTATATATCTATCTATCTATCTACATGTCTGGTGTCTTGGCTGCTTTTATGGATATCTAAAGGTCAATTCAATAAGTTAACAGCAACAACGTCATAAATACGAAACCTTGATTGATGGCACGGGCTTCTAAGGCACACGATCGTATACAAATGTGTCACATGAATAATTTTGTTGTTGTTTTTTTCTTTCTCAAATCGATATTCCGATCGATGTTGCATTCAATTAAAATGAACTTTGTTTCTTCGGCCAATGTTCATCTGTAGCCCGATTAAAATTTGTTTTTTTTTCTAACGTAAAACCGGACAAGCACCGCATTTTCTATCATCCGATTAATCGATTTGCATTACAGATTAATTGCGACTCATTCAAAGCACCAATAAAATTTCTAATTGCATCAGTTTAGAATCAGAATTTTAATTTTGAGCATTCGTACGTTAAGTAACATCATTAAATTCGTTTTGATAGCTAATTTTTCCTTAAGATAATGAATTTTGAATTCCGAACCATAAAAATGATGCAAATCACCGGCTTCTTAATATGCCGACTGAATCACGTGTTCACATTTCAATTTTAATTAAAATTCTCCTAGTGAAATGTTATAACGTCAACAAGAGATCTTTGAAACAATCGATAAATGATCAAAAATTCAGCCAAAGTCTTTTTATTAGAAGAGTGCGATAAACAATTAGCATATGCAGTTCGATATGATACGTATGCGTAGTAAAAGTTTGCATTGTAATGCAGTGTTTGGAATTTTGGTTGTGTCTACAACAACCTGCAGAAGAAGCAAAGGCAAAAGCAATTATTCCAAATTAATGACATACGAATGACTTACGATTTTGTGGCAACAAACCGCAAATGCATGCATACACAGATATGCACGTCATACGTGTAAAATATGCATCGGTATTAGTTATTATTGACCATTTTACATTACAATGTACGACAGAGAAAAACGATTCACTGTTAAACAATAAATCAGGTGAACTTTACGCATTCATCACAAAATTAACCGTTGTCATTTTCAAATTCGTTGAAAAATGAATGCAATTGACGAACCAATAGTGAATTCAAATACATAATGTTTGCTCTTTTGGAAATCAGCATTTCAATTCACATTGGACAAAATTCATGCGCAATGACCACACACACAAAAAAAAAATGGCAAGAGCCGTTAAAATACTTACATTTGATCGCCCAAACATCTTTAACGTCAAGACCACTTTGAATGGAATTCAATTCGATATTGCATAAATGTGTGATTTTTAAATCATTTTCGCGATTTGTTTGCAGAACATCACTTAATAGTCCGGTGAAATATGTCGTTGTTGTGGAATTAGATGTAACACTTGTGGCCGTTGTGTAAACGATCAGCCCAAGAAAGATCGTTAATTTTAAATTTAAACTCATTTTTATACACATGCACGCACACATGCACTCGCGCCGTTGGATAAAAGTTCCGAAATAAACTGTAATTTTGATACACACAAACAAATTACTTAAGAAATTATCGATTATATTCGATCATAACTCAGTTTCGCAGTGCACTTGAACAACAGCAGAGACGAAAAAATGAAATGGAAGAAAAAATCGTCGCAAACCAAGCTCCGTTTTCGTTTCTATCTTAATCACTTGTTTTGAAAAATGTTCGTCTAGTGCATTAGGTTTGTTTGGTGAGTACACCACAGTTCAACATTCGGCAAACAACTGAATGTCTTATCTTTCTGAAATGAAAATGGTTTATGATATGACGCCCTTCTCTCCAGCACATTGGTCACGTCAAAAAAAAAACACACCAAATATACTTACTTCAACACTAACCTAGGTCATATTGCTCCAGTGTTATGTTTACTCTGTATTATTTTTGTTTCATTTTCGTCTCTCGTCTCTCCTTTTGTTTAAATATATATATATATATATTATTTCGGTAGAGAGCATCGGCAGCCATATGAATCTGAATGGTGTGGAGTTTATTTAAATCTTTACCGATAAAAATGTATTTATTTTGTTGGTGCTCGTTGGCAATGAAATCGGAAACAGGTGGGTTCAGCATTTAGAAAATTGTGCACACCAAGCATAGACCTGTTATACGATATATGTGTCTCTCTGCCGATTGTGTAATCATTTTTAAATTGCCATACCATTGTTAGGCATAGTAATTGCAAAGTGCCGCCGCCGCCGCCGCCGCCGCCGTCACCACCGCTATCAGCCACTATTGCTGTACCATCACGTTGATGTTTTGTCTATTTTTGTCACATTCTTTTATTATCATTTATTATGTTTAGCCGCAAAAATTCAAATTGGGCTTCATCGTATAGTTTGCGTTGGAAAAATAAAAATCCAAACAAAGACCACCAACTGCAACGGCATGCCAAAATATTGATCGTTGAACTCTGCGATAATTCACATTGAGGGTTGCACATTGTCGTGGTCATCTCTTGTAATTGTTCAATGCATAACGAGCGCAAAATGCACAAAACGGCCAAACCAGTTTCCAGAGAGGCGGTTGACTGTTCATTCAACGTCGTAGTAGCCGACGCACAAAATGATGCAAAAAATCGTGAGTAATCGGTAGTTTGTCTACCTGTGTGTTTGTATTTGTTGTTGTCGTCGTTGTCTCTATCATATGGACCGCATACGCTTCACATTCGGCTTGCATATTCAACATCTTTGTTAAACAATGTTCACGTAATTTTTTTTTCGGTTGTTTTATGTATGTCGATATATTCCTTGACCTTGTCGCAAAATGCATTTCCTTCTCTTTGAGCCATATTTGCGATGGAACACTGAAATATAATGAAAATTATTATTATCATATTGCACTGTAATTTTTCTCTCTTTTTCTTTCTTTCTCTCTCTCTCTCTCTCTCTCTTGCCAGCAGAGAACCAGCAGATAGTTTGCATTTCGGAAACAAAGCAATGAATTCGGTAGGCTGGAATTAACCACACGATCAAGCAATAAAAAATGGGCGTTGATAAATTTCAAGCGTTGCCAGAATATTTACCGTTCGATCATTCGCTGAACGAACCGAGATGAATGATATGGAACGAAGTGAAGAAAATCGTTTATCTCTTGTATATTTAATGTCTTATTTTGTGAAAAGGCCGCTCAGCTCAACATGACGACGGCAACTACAATGAATGACAAGAATTCAGGAAGAATATTGGTTGGCACAATGACAGAGATAGAGAGAGACATTTATAATTGCACAATTCAATGTTTATGTCAACGGTTATATGAGCGCATTGTTCCCTTCGTAGAACTTTATAATGATTTTTTTTTTTGGTTTTTTTTTCGGTACGTAGAAAATTGAGGGATTGTTTGTTGTTCATGTGTAAAATTTCACGTCTCCACGCCGTTGTGTGGTGTGGTTTATTTCAAAGATTGGCCCATGAAAGATAATGAAAATCAAACAATGACAGCTTACTGAATAGTAATAAAATGTCAAGGTTTCAAGTGTTTGTTGTTACTTTGAGATGTCTAAAATCAGTGCCGGTGACGCAGCATGCAGCAGCAATAGCATCAGCAGCAGCAGCAGTTTAAGTCTACTTCTTCAAATGTTGATTGACAGTATTAGAGCTTTTGAAATTGGAAAAAGTTGCAAGTGTGGTGATGGCCTGTTCAACACTTCTCACGTTGAAAACTAGAAAGCTAAAGAAATTTATTCAGCGCATTGTGTCTCTCTCTCCGTGCGGTGACGATCAAATGTCAGTGAAACATTGCGAAATACTTACTATAAATGTTTCAAAGACATTTTTTTCTGACCTCGCGCCTCTTTCATGAACCTTAAGGATTATTGCCGTGATTTATACCACTTAAATTATGCATTACATATGACGAAAAAAAAAATATATCAAATTTATAGCTTTATCGAACCATTTTCGGTCAGTTTTCTTGGAATTTGTGTTTTTCAATGAAAGGGTAAAACTGCGAATGACTTTACGCATGCGAGTTCATTTGGACCGTTGAAAATTTAAATGGAGTAAATTCCATCGATTTCCGATTGCAGTGAACGATCCATGACCGAACTGTAAAATGTGTGTGTTTGTGTATGTATCAGTGAATCGCTTGGTGTGCGCCTCAAAAATCAGTTTGGTCCACTTACAAGAAAGTCGCATTTTTTTCTTCTTTCTTCTCAATCCAATTCACATGCACAGGTTTCTTTCTTTTTAAATGGGAGAACCGATTTACACATGGATTTAAAAATGAAAATTATGAGCGAAAAAAAAAACAACAACGACACAAAATGACTGAACGTCTTTAGCGATAAAGCAGAAAAGTGATTATAAGCATATCTTTTGCGTTGTGTGTGTTGCGACCATACCAACAACAATGGCTGATGAGAAAGATCCATAAAAAACATATTTCGACTCAATTCGAATCGGAATTCGGAAATGAACGACAAACGCAGTCACACCAGAAAAATCGCGCACATTTTTTTTCCTCTACTTCTTCTTCATCATCATCTCTTTATTGTTGCTCGTTTTTCGTTGTTGTTGTTGTTGTTGTTGCTGTTGTTGGTATGGTTTTGTATAAACGACACGCGAGAGGGTCTTCAACTGTTTTCTCATTTTGTCGAAACGATCTCATTGTATGTGCAGGCAACATATATTCATTAATAAACGTAAAAATGGCTTATTTGCTATGCCGTTATTTAAAATACAATCGCATACAAGCGCACAAATGGTACGCTAAGAGAAAGAAGAGAAAAAAAAACGAGCCACGAATATTCTTAAGTCTTCACCGCGAAGAGAGTGAGAGATATTAGTTTTACCAAACGTTTCAGAGGAGAAAGATGTTCAAGTGAAAACCTGTGCATATGTCAGAGAGTAGTAAGAGCAAAAAAATTTGTTATTCATTCGGCTCGTTTCACCAGTGCGCATCGGATTTAGTTAGTTTGTGTTTAAATGATTATATTTTTATTTTTGTTTTTGTTTTATTTTTTTGTGTGTTATTTCCTCATCTCTGGGCTCTGAAAAGAAATAAGTAAGAAAAAATCAGATATAGATATATACAGGTTATTATACGGTGTCGCTTATTAAGGTCGATTGCAATGAAAACAACTACTTTGCTTGTTCGGTTTTAAATTGCAAAAGAATAAAACTATTAACAAACAGATAAATTTTAACTCTCAAGATCCAATTTGATTGCGCCGCGCTGCAGTACAGGAAACGAACGCACGAACGAACCAGAGAGCTGTTGGTAACTTCTTTGGTTGAACCGAAAAGAAAAACCAGATATCACACTTAGGTGAGTGTGGATCGATGCAATCGAACTCACGCTAACAAGTTGGTCAAGTTAAGAAACGAAACAAAAATAAAAATTGGTGTGCGTTGTGTGTGAGCTACTGTGTTTGCGAGATTCAAGATAGAAAGGAGAACTGAGTGCGCGTTAAATTTAAAAGAAACACAACCAAAAAGCAAAAACAACTAAAAATAAAGTGGAATAAAATGCAATTCGTAAAATGTGTATTGGTTCTGTGCTTTTCATTCCAACTGATAAATAATGTGTTGAGTGTGTATCACGATGATTCGCCTGATTATGGCATTAACAGCAGCAATGACAATGACGATGATAATGATGACCTACCAATGGCTCATCAATTCCATGCCAATCTGGACATTCGCGGTTTCGAACGAATGATGCTCAGAGACATGGCCGAAGATGAGCCGGAATTCTTCAACGAAAAAGAGCAACGTGTACGTGATGCTCTACTCAGATCAACGCAAGATGTACGCAGCCAACGAACATTATCTGAAGTGTTGCCGATTTTAAGGTCTCTGTCGACACAGCAGCGTTTAACATTGGCTGCACTCATTTCAACACAAACCAATCCAAAGTCCGGCAAATCATTGGATTTGAAACAAGTATGGAACAACAAAATATTTAATTTAATTGAATTATTTTATTCTCTTTTTGTTCGGAGTATTTTCCGATTGATTTGATTTGTCATTTTCGAAATGAAATTGTTGTTTTTTTCTGGCCATGGCTTGATTGGTCGGTTAGCATTTCATCTTAATCGAAAGTAGCAAGTAAAAGTGTGTTTCTCTTTCTTTTATCTTCGACTGGTTCACTTCAGACGGATCAAGCGTGAGCGCACGGCGCTCATACGCTTCATACGTATATATTGTAAGCGGCATAGCATTGAATCACATTTCTAGAATTCAAAGATTCGTGAAAACGACTTCAGTCGATCGAATCGCGCAAAAAACAAACAAACAAATAAATATAAGCAATAAACACGTTTTCTGTGTTACTACTATTGTGCATAAACGAGGCGATGCAAAACCCAGCGTAGCGTTTATAACCACTTTTACCTATATTCATATCGCCGCCGTACAAAAATAGTAAATAGACGAACAAAAAGTAAAGAGAGAGAGAGAGAAAGAGAGACATGCTAATAGCTAGCTCATTAGTGCCAATTCATATGGATTTTTATACTCATTCGATTCGCACAATGTCATTGATTGGTTAAATATTTTAATTCGATTTCATTGATTTAGGTTGAGGAGATGTTTGGAGAGCGGAGAAATTCCATTTTGCCAATTATCTATGATATAGCGAATATAGTAAAAAGAAATATGCCGCGAAAAATTGGAAATGATTTGCCAGCAGGCATTAATTATGATGATGAACCAAATAACAATGAAGAAGTTCAATCAAAAACATCTGTTTTTCATCGTTCGAAACGATCGTCGAAATACGAAGACGACCGACCATCGTATCACGAACGAAAAATGAATATGACCAATTTTCGAGGCACACCAGAATCAAACGATCAACATGCCATCGAATCTCAAACACGAATTCACGTTAGTTTACCCAATTCAAATGCCTCGTCGGCCATGTCATTGGAGGATATTGAGAATTTGGCGTTCAAAGATTTAAATGGAACGATACCGATTGGCAGCGGTGACAATGCCACTAACATAGAAAGTCTTCCGGAGCCAGAAATGTTGATCCGACCATATCGGGTGCGTCCGCGTCCAATTAGCGAACGGTTTGACAATGTTTATTTGTACGTCGTTGACTATCCAATGTAAGCAAGCACATCGTACCAAATACTATGTAGATTTCTGTAAACTTATTGCGGCCGTTGAATACAATAACTTTGCTTTTGGGATTTTTGCCATTTTCAGGCATCAAATTATGGGCAGTATCCGAAGACATCGATTTGCCATGACTGCTCTTCTGGCCGACAATCCAGGTGATTGGCGAAATCGTATGCAGGAATTGGAAATGAAAAAACGTCGCGAAGATGAAGAGAATAACATACCATCGAGTGGAATGTGCCCTAGCATTGTACGATACGCTCGCCCACAAAAGGCTCGTTCCGCGTCAGGCGAATGGAAATATATTGTGAACACAGGCCAACACACACAAACGCTACGCTTAGAAAAGTGCACGTAAGCAATGTACCAATCAAAATATTTGCAATGTTTTCCTTCTCCCCTTTTTTCCAGCGAGACATTGCACTGCAATTACAAATGAATAATTAGATGCAATAACGATGAAATTACTTCAATTTTACAGGCATCCCGAGAATTCATGTACATATTTAACCGATAATTTTAGTTCACGATGTGCTCAAATCTACAATTACCATCGGCTACTCAGTTGGGATAACAAGCGTGGATTACACATCGATATATTCAAGGTTTGAAGCTGATTGAATTTGATTTTAGGCTTCGATTCTACGTTATGTGCATTTTTATTTCGAAGGTACCGACATGCTGTTCATGCCAAATTGATGGATACAGAGAGAAATTCCCGCCAAACAGCCCACATTCGGGTGACGACCAGGATTTGTTCGAGACACGTTTTTCAGCATCGGATGCCCTTTATTCATTGGCCAATAATGATTACAATGATAACGAAAGCGATGCCGAAGAGTCACCCAGTGAATCAAACGGTGCCGTATTCCGTCCGCTCATTACGAAAAAACAACGTTTCGAAAAACGGAAGAAAATCAAGCGACCATCATCGCCAGAGACATTTCTTACGCCACCCAGCCCAAAGTACGAGCCAGAGATTCAATTCAAACGCAAACAATCGTCGATTCCAATAGCCGCCAACCGCGCATCGGAGGTATCGAGCCCAACACCGGTTCTGATTGGCGGTGATGATACATCGGAAACGGAACGTCCCAGTAAGAATGGATTCACACCGATCAGTGTGCCCGTGAAAAATCCGCAAATACCACGATTGGCACCATCCAAAGTGTTGATCAAACGGGTGAATTACAACTATCATCCAATCATTGATTTCTTTTTCCGCGATCGTGCGGTTAAGGCAGCCAAAGCCAAGGAGAATCGGGCTGGCCATAGCATTAACGTGTCATAATCGGAATTGAACTACAAACATGAAAAAAACACCGCACACACATAACTTTATCAGCAAAAATATCGCATTTCGATGAATTTTTTTGCTCAAATCACTAAATAGTCAAAAGAAACACCACATTTATTAGTTTGGCATACTTCAAGTATGGGAAAGGGAAAAAAATCAAATGAGTATCCAATATGAAACAAATTTAAAAAATATAACTTACGTTTATAGTCAAATTAATCGTGGCAATCCATACGAATCTCCGAAACTTAACCTTTCTCCCAGATTCGATGAGAACAAAACAGAATGATGTAGCGATGGCCCAATATTTATTTATTTATTTATTTATTTTATTTTCATAAATTTTATATTTACAAGTTATTTATTGATTTATTTTGTGAACTAATTTATTTATTTATTTATTCGTCGATAGTGTATAGGTCTAATTTATTTTTAGCAATTCTTTTTTTTCTATTTCTTCTTAGCTTTTCCATCAAAAATCACAAAAGTGATTTTAAACAGGAAAAAAAAATTCAATTAATTTAGTTGAAAAAAAAAAAAAAATTAAAAACGAACAAAAACTGGGTCAGTAATCCGTTGGAAATGTTTTAAGGGAATATACAAAAAAGTGATGAGAAAAATTATATAGAGAGAAAGAACAAAAAAAAAAACTTGCATAATTTGTAATTAATTTTTGTTTTCGTTTTCAATTTGTGTACTGGTTAAAATTCGTTCTGTTTGTTATTTTTTTCGCGTTGTTCGCGTTGTTTTAGCTATGCACAGTATTTTTTTCTTCGCTTTTGTTAATTTCACTTTTTCATGATTCGGAAAAAAGACAGTCTTTTTCTTTTCATAAAATACTTGTCAACCATTTTTTTTGTATTTCTATCTAAATCTCTTTGTTTTTTTTTGTGTTTCTCTTGCAAAATACTGTTCATTCCATAAAATCAAGACAATTATTTATAATTCATGTAAATAAAAACATATGTAAATAGTTTAGATAATAAAGATTTCCGTCTTAACTATTCTTTTGTGTGTTTGTGTTATTTTGTATTTTTTTTCTTTTGTCTAAAAAAAATTTCATTAAACATTAGTTGCAATTTTTTTCTTCTAAATTCACGAGAACAAAACGTTATTTCTGCACCCACCCAGTCTGTGTGGGGTCAATGAGTGCATTATTGGATAATTTCAATGAAACAAATGAATATCGAAACGATATCATCGTCACATAACATAAAATTTGATCTATGTGTGTAAATTACATTATCACGAAACGATTTGAATGATTAAAACATATTAATATATGAAACAGAATGAAATGTGTGAACAATGAGGATGAATGTGTAAGTCGATCGATCTGGATTGATGGACTTGGCAAAAAAAAAAATTGTCAAATGGTCTAAACTATATAAGAATTGATAATTTCATTCTAGAAAAAACATGCGATATTCGGTTTTGTACGTAAAATCTCAGTTAAATTGTTGTGTAATGTAGTAGATGCTTAATAATTTATAGTTTATCGTATAACACTAATCGTTCTATTCGGAGGAATTGTTTTAGGGAATCGATAATACCCATTTCTGTCTTGTCTTAAGTTACCGATAAGCAGTGAAAGGAACACATTTTTTTCTTCTTGGGAAATGTCATTTTTCTGGCACAAATATATGGATGATTTATGTTGTGGCTGTTGTTTTGTTTTGATTTTCGATAGTATTTGATAAAAAGTGTATCGACCTCGTTCTCGTCCTCGTCTCAACCACTTCATTAGGTAGGTGTGAATGTTGAAAATACATTGGTTCGATATGTTACACTTTCTTTCTTATTAGCTGCTAGTGAGTGCTTTCTTCTTTCTTTGCACCAGAATATCGTAGAATGGATTATGTGAAATCGATTGCGTTAAGCATTTGATCCATTCTTGTTTGTCTTCATCGGTTGCCGCTGACATTCGATACACGGAATGTTTACCCTCAACAACTTTACCCTCTGAATCCGTTTTGCATGCTTTGATTATATCGGCACCACCACATGCGTACAATTCGAAGCAGTGTGGTTTACTACGATCCTGAATCTCACGCACTCGAATATTCTCCAATGGAATAATACCTCTGGGCTCTTTGTCGGTTGTATATTCGAAATAGTACAGGCAATTGTCGTTCAATATGAACCATCTTCGCTTCCAGGATTTGTATCTGTGTGTGGACAAATCAGAATGGATGATTAGAATTGCACTCTAGTACTGAAAATATTCCAAAAAAAAAAACTTACCTGCCACCCTGTTTCCATAGCCATCCCTCTTTGTCTGGATTGAAGAATGTGTGCATCAAGTCGTTTCCATCGTCTTGTGGTATTTTGAATGGTTCGGTTCGGATCGATTCATACAGTGATACCAATAATTCACGTGGTAAATCACCGCCGTTGTTTATGCCACGATTCATTGATATGAATTGGTCAACGCTCGGTTTGTCCTTCACCGATGGATTGTGCAGCGATGTGTTCAGCATGATGATGGCAAAACTGAGCACATAGCATGTGTCTGTGTTGGTGAATATGTCTGGGTTTAGTTGACAATATCGTTGAGCAAAACACTCCATCATTCGGTCAATCTTTTGTGCTTCTCCTGGCAATCGAAATGACCACAGGAACTGCCGTAGAGCCTGCACCAGTATCAGATTCGTGAAATCGTGTAGTTCGACAAAAGCCTTTAGCACCTGTTCATTGAAGTCACTTTTTTCGCCCAAATAGTCACCGATGGCCGTCTTATTCAGTCCTTCGCCTTTGTACAGAAAATGTGCAATATCCTGAGCATCCATTCGCAGTAAATGATTTTCGCACAGGTATTCGATGCCTTTTTTCGGATCCATATTGAACTTTTTCCGACCGATGGACATTTGCTTGTCTTTGTTTGAGTGTTTGCAATCGTCTTGTGAGTCAAGCGCTTCCATCTCGGCTACCACTTCGCACAGTTCATCTTTTATCTGCTGAATTTCAAGTAGTAATTCCTGTTTTCGTTTACGAATCTCAATTAACAGCCTTTGTTGATCGGGTGACATTTCAGGTAGCGTAGATCCGTGATGATTTATCGCTGATAATGTTGCATACGAGCAATTATCCATAACGCTTAACATTTTGATGGTATTGATGATGAAGAACTGCTTTGAACTCAAAATTTTTTATCCCGTTTTCTTATTTATAAAATGAATGAAATGCTCTAAAATGATACAGTGCCCAGTTGGAATGCACTTTCAATGGGTAAACAACACAATTTTCATCACGTCTACAATTACAATTACTGTTGTTATTCTGGATTACAAAACACTTTGTTTTCAATAGAAACTTACAACTATGAAGTGACAACAGAGACCTCTCCCCACATATTCGTAGTGTGGCCCTATCGGACACTTTTCAACGAAACGACTACACCTCATTTGTGCATATACTTGTCTCGCTCACATTGCACTTTCTCTGTAGCAATTCGCCGGGAAATGCGTGATGTTTTTGCATTTTAAATATTTTTTTTTTCATTTTTCAAGAAAAACAAATTAATTTAAAAATCATCAATTCCATTTTTTATTGAGATTTAATCATTTTTTCGCTCAAAGTATTAAGTGCGGAAGTGCAACGAAACAATTTTGACGTTAGCCCAACTTTCGGGCTAGCCCGATGCAGTTGCTGACTTTTGACGGCCACCATGTTTTACTCGTGTTAACGTGAACTGTCATCGGCCCTAACCTCTTTCTTTTTCTAAACTAACTACATTCGGTACGTACGGATATAAAAATTTGTGCTGAAAAAATCGAAAAAATTCTTTAATATTTTTGACCATCGGCTATTGAAAATATTATTCACCGACTTTAAGTTCAATTGAGTTTTGCAATTAATAAGAATTTTCTCGATTACATCGCGATTTTTCGGAATATTTTCCATTTTTTCGGCATCAACATAAGACATCAGTGCTTTGACTTCGTTGTGCAAGTGATGAGATGGGTGAACTTGATTCATATTGCATTGCAAACTCATTTAATAAACGTGTTTTTTAGATTTGGACAATCGATTAATTGGATTCGTTTGCTTTCTTTTTGTGGCATTCATACAGATTATCAGAATGGGTCGTGTTATTCGCGCTCAGCGTAAAGGAGCTGGATCAGTTTTCGTAGCACATACGAAGAAACGTAAGGGAGCAGCCAAATTGCGTTCATTGGACTACGCTGAACGTCATGGTTACATCAAGGGTGTAGTGAAGGTATGGTAACAATTCATTTTTGGCGAATACAAACCCAACACAAATCGATTCAAATGGATTAAGTGCTTAGAATGGTGTATGAATTGTGAATAATTGTGATCAAAAGCCATCAATTTGGTTCATTGTTAAGCATAACGTGGTGCACACATGTGTTGATCTTTTTTTTGCTTGCTGTTGTTGTTTATCGCCCATTGGACATACCGACATGTGATTGATTTTTGTGTGTGTGTGTGTTTTTTTTCCATCTTTAGGAAATCGTTCACGATCCAGGTCGTGGTGCTCCACTTGCCCTCGTGCATTTCCGCGATCCATACCGCTACAAGACCCGCAAGGAAGTTTTCATTGCCCCAGAAGGTTTGTACACCGGTCAATTCGTGTACTGCGGCAAGAAAGCCACTTTGCAAATTGGCAATGTGATGCCATTGTCACAGATGCCAGAAGGTACCATTGTCTGCAACTTGGAAGAAAAGACTGGCGATCGTGGACGTTTGGCTCGTACATCGGGTAACTACGCTACAGTCATTGCCCACAACCCAGATACACGCAAGACTCGTGTCAAGCTGCCATCCGGCGCCAAGAAAGTCGTCCCATCAAACAACCGTGCTATGGTTGGTATCGTTGCTGGTGGCGGTCGTATCGACAAACCAATCTTGAAGGCTGGTCGTGCCTACCACAAATACAAAGTGTAAGTTTTGACATTTTCGCTTCGAACGCATGCCAGTCAAACATTGACAAGTTTAACTTCAAGAATTCAAAGCAATTTCAGTGATAGACAGTGCAAGTGAATATGCAAATGAATCTAATGTGTGTTTGTGTGTGTGTTTTTTTTTTCAATTTTAGGAAGCGTAACTGCTGGCCAAAGGTTCGTGGTGTTGCTATGAACCCCGTTGAACATCCTCACGGTGGCGGTAACCATCAACACATTGGTAAAGCCTCGACTGTTAAACGTGGCACATCGGCTGGTCGTAAAGTTGGTCTCATCGCTGCTCGTCGTACCGGTAGAATTCGAGGTGGTAAAGCTGAAACAAAAAAGGAAGCTAAATAAACACCTGATTTTCGTGCTTGAACGCTCCCGTGTTTTTTTTTTGTTCATTTGTATACAATTTATTGTGTGTTAAACATGATAACAGATAATAAATGAATAAAATTTATAAAATGTTCGTATTTTTACGGACCGAGTTTCTTTTCATTTTGTTTTATTTCATTTTTTTGCCCATTGACTGGAGTCCAATTTACTCGATCCATTTGAAGTAGGTAAAAAACAACATGCTTCTTCTGTTTTTTTCTTCATCTTTTCCTTCGTCTTCAGCTTCAGGTAAAAGCAATATCTTTTTTTCCTTTCTTTTTCTTTGATGAACTGCCATTCTTAACAAACGAATGGATCATGCGTTATCCATTCGACAGCTTAGAGAACTCAAGTAAACCAAATGCGACGTTTACTTGACGCACTGGTTCATTGCGGCATTTCTGTTATAGTGACTGTGTTCATGCAACAAAGTGAACGCATAGACATAGGCGCGTGGCAAACGTTTATGTATGTATGCGTGAGACTATGGTTGTATTTTGTATGAACACAATCGCTCTCTGTACAGTATATCAGAAATAACGCACGGCGCGAGCAAATGATTTACTTGAGAAAAATCAATTAATATCACAGTTCTACCGATGTTTTTTTTTGTCTGGCAATTGATAGCGACATACTAGGCGTTTTAGAAGGCCAAAATCTAAGAACAACTGCGTTCTCAGAATATTAAAATTGGCTCAACTTTTTTAAATATCAAATTCGGCGTTTAACCTTTCCAGCAGTATTAAATGCAAAGAGATATTGAACAAATACCATTTTTCTCCCATTCGTGATGGTTTTATAGCCTTGGCATGTACTAATAAAATGTTTGGCGTTTGATTTTAGGTGGAACTAGTTATAATATATACTCAAAAATTACATCTGGTGGGAGCTATGGGGCAAAATGTCGAGAAAATAGTCCATTTTTCCCACTAAAGCTCGAACAGTATACATTTTTTTCACTTACTTTATTCGGCAACATTGTAGCCAGAGTATAGCTGAGCAACATTCCTGAACACATCAACTCGAAAAAACTCCATCCAGTCCACTTTATGGGCTCAAAATCACTTTTCGCTATAAAACGGTATTTTCGTGCATTTTCGAAGTCCTGCAATTTCTCAACTGCTTAAAATAGAGCAATAGTTTCTGAAAGAACTTTTTAGTACTCCTCAAGAGCTTTGCAGGCCAAGTACTAAAAAGTACTAAAATGTACTAAAAAGTAATAAATTGTTTTAAACACTTTAAATGGCTCCGGGCAACTCTGGGTGATGAAAAACTCTACTAACTCGTGTTGAATATTCTGTTTTGGATCGCAGCAAATATTTGTGATCGGTAATTAGTTGAAAAATCCCACCAGATGTAATTTTTGAGTATATATTATAACTAGTTCCACCTAAAATCAAACGCCAAACATTTTATTAGTACATACCAAGGCTATAAAACCATCACGAATGGGAGAAAAATGGTATTTGTTCAATACCTCTTTGCATTTAATACTGCTGGAAAGGTTAAACGCCGAATTTGATATTTAAAAAAGTTGAGCCAATTTTAATATTCTGAGAACGCAGTTGTTCTTAGATTTTGGCCCTCTAAAACGCCTAGTATGTCGCTATCAATTGCCAGACAAAAAAAAACATCGGTAGAACTGTGTATTGTATGCGAATGAACGAATGAATGGATCAATGAATGAATGAATCGTTTTTTATATATGCTTTAAGCGATCTTAGCTTTATTCTTCATGCACAATTGAAAAAGTTCATGCAAATCATTATAAAAGTTAAAGATGCAATCAAAAAAGTGAACCAATAATAAATTTGGTTTGGTTCAATGTAGCTAAAACCAAGCAAAACTAATTGTGCTACTTTGATTCCAATGAAATTGAAATGACGGTCTCTACGCGATACATCCCGGCTCTTGAAACCGAAAAGAAATACAAAAAATATTGCGGCAATAAAAGTGAGAGTCCGTGAATAACCATTTCAACATTTTGGGTCCGTACATGCCACGAATAGACACATAGTGCCTATAACATGAATTGCAAATGTGATCAGCTGAAGCCAATCGGCAGCCTGTGCAGCCTGTGCAGCGGTCTTCATCTTGTGACCGCGCTGAAAATAAGTAACGATAAATCAGTTGAGTCAATTAAGCATCAATCAATGAACACATTTGAATTTTTTACCGTCACACGCATCTCTTGTCTTGGAGGAGTCATGTGTAGATTACGCGACTGGCTTTCAGTATGTTGTGCCGATGTTTCATCTTCTCTCGTTTTTTCGTAGATTGGTGAATTCGGTGGCACTGGAGGCAGGTCTGAGCCATGATCACTAGATTAATTTTCAAAAAAGGTTAAATGATGCTAGGTAGAAATTAAAATATGTATACCTTTCGATCTTTTCAGCAAACAAAAAACATTCCGATTCAATCGTTTTCAAAAGTAAATTATCAGTATGATTTAGCTAATCTGTCAAAATCTAAGCTGCGCTGACACTTCAATCAGATATCATTCAATACTATCTTTTTATCACAAAGCTTATGCACCGGCACATGAATCATACAGCTAATCAATACACTCATTTCATCACTGAGCTTATGAAAACATTCAAATATCGCGAACGGTTTAATAACTCAAATTTAATTGTATTTGTTTTAATAAAATCAACATTCATATAAATACAACGAAAAAGATACACAGAACGATGTTTAACATAAAAGCGTTTTGTACTAAACGCTCATTTAGATTGATATTGAATCGGCATTTGTGTAATTTTTTCACCTGAAGAATTGAGTAAGTAAATCACTTCGAAGAAAACGGTAAAAAATTGAATTGGCTTCAAAGCAGCGTTGAAAATTACATCAAAATTTATTATGAATTCACTGAAAGCCACTGCTCATTTTAAACGTAAATTTAAAGAGAATAATTACACACGGATCGAGAAAAGTACGGAGTTGAAAAGTAATCACATTTTCCATGTACGAAATTATCCATTATTTGATAACACATTGGACAGTTTTTTTCGCTTTTAAATTGTGAATAGAAAAAGATTGTGCTGAAAAAATGCTTCATGTATGTGAGGTAATGCA